TTATATTCTGGTTTTAAAACATATTCTAAGTACAGAAAAACTAAACATTATGATTTTAAGTTTTAACTCTTTTAGTCTTTACGCAATTATTATTGTACAATCAGCTATTAAAAATGAGTTTGTACTGCTATCATAGATGGCACTTAATATATTATATGACTTGTTTATCTCAAGTTACTTTTTGATTTTTAAATGCAAAAAGAAATTGGGCTATATTATACATATTTTAGTACATAAGTATTTGAATATTAAAAGAAACAGTTCAAAAGTTTGCAGATCAACACCATTTATTTATTATATAAGAAAACATAAATAGTTTAAATCAAAACAACCAATTAAAGCTGTCCAATTTCTTTGTATGGAATGAGATTTCTGTAGTAGTTATTGTAGCATCTGTCGTAATCATATAAAAAAATTAAACACAAATATAAATGAGACACTTTATTGTATAAAATAGAATTACATAAATGCATTTGACTAATATTCATGAAAATAACATGTCAAGTACTTACAATAACTCCCTATTTGATATGAAATTATAATGTAATTGAAACATGAGAATATCAATAATCACCTAAATTTTTTTTAAAGGGCTATACTAATAATCTTAAATGCCTTACAAATAAATGCGAAAATATGCAATTAATTAAAAGAAGTATAATAATTTCTTTTCTATATTTTTGGTAAATAACGTTATAATTTAATTTTATATAAAAATGTTACAAAGGTATAACTTCGAACATAAAATTTTTCTTTACTTAAGAATTAGTTTCGTAGAATTGCTGATCTTATATAGTTTTCTAAGTGGAAGTTAACATTAATACTGACAAAATAAACTATGGAGTTTGAAACAATTGTTTATTTAAAAAGGAAAATTAAAGAAAATCCTGCGCAATTATTGCGAGTTTATCCACCTTCATTTTCAATACACATTTATCAATTATGTAATAAACCAACTATACTTTAGTTATACACAAAGCACAATTAAAATCTTATATTAAACACTGGCACTTATTTATCACAGGAATAAATTTATATGGAAAGATTTAAATTGTCTTTACCAATTATAAAGATACATGCACACTATCATATATACCAATATTTTTAACGTGAAACGTCTTTAAAAACACATCCAAACATACGGGTACCAGAAAAGTGGATTGTAATGAAATAGGTAGCATTAAGTTGCTATGTAACCATTGTTATTGTCTGACAAATGACATTAATGATATTTATTCCATTGCTATCTTCAAAGATTACTATTTTTACCAATTTGTTTTTAAATATACAAAATATTTATAAAAAACAAAAACACTAATATAGGAAGAGCCCGTGAACGCCAGACCTTCGTCATTTTATAAAGGCTGAAAGTTTGTCAGCGCATGCTCCCAACACAGATAAGAACGATGGACCATTATGAAGTTTAGGTTATGGTGGCTTTGGCAGGTACACGGTACTAAAGGTGTGTAAAATGCCGATCTAAATTTGTCAAATAATAAAGTGTGATTTTTTGGTATTACCTTCAGAATATTATTAAAAATCACGTCATTCAATGCCAGACACTTAACATCGTGGCAAACTCTTGCCAGACACCCTTTTCATGAAATCATAATTCTACTTACGTTATAGTATAAAAGCTGATTTTATATATATAATACTGGGGTAATAATTAGATGATTTATCAGACTGCTAGCATAGCATTTATTACACACCATGAAAAATGTTCCAAACAAGTTATGCCTCCCTTTCTAAGAAAATGTTGCAAATGATTACCAAATTTGAAGCGCTAAGAATTGAATTTATTTCACGATGTTAAGTGTCTGGCATTGATTGACGTGATTTTTAATAATATTCTGAAGGTAATAAAAAAAAAACACACTTTATTATTTGACAAATTTAGATCGGTATTTTACACCTTTAGTACCGTGTACCTGCCAAAGCCACCATAGCCTGAACTTTATAATGATCCGTCGTTCTTATCTGTGTTGGGAGCATGCGCTGACAAACTTTCAGCTTTTATAAAATGACGAAGGTCTGGCGTTCACAGGCTCTTAGGCCATAAAAGCAACTCGCTGAAATAGACGCTTCAAGATAAAACAACAATGAAGTGCTCCGCAACAGCCCCGCCCGATTTTTAAAGTATTACTTTATTATTTAAGCATCTGCCAACAATAATTATATATTTTGCTTTAATATATAGAGTTTTGAAGTTGATCTTGCTACTATTATTTGGAAGATTATTATCAAAAGTATATAATATATTTATGGATAAAATTGTCTATGGTAGGAAATGAAACATCTAAAAGGCCGTCTGCAATGTTTGTTTCTTGTAATTATAATAATATTAGATTATATTTTTTAAAGGTGAGAAAGTAATTTAAAGCCTATATGAAAAATCAAAGAGTAAAACAATATGTGAAAATAAGAAAATATTACAAAATGATTAATAGTAACAAAAGCAACAATTATTTAAAACCGCTAATCTGCTCCGACTCAGTTGAGGCCATAACTGCACGTCGCGGGTCCTTAATATTAATATCCTAAATAAAGAACTATTAAAGTTCTTTATACTCGGCTGATGTGTAGTAAACTATCTCCGTAACAAAAATCAAATCAATCCGATATTGCATGTCATCGAAACGAACTCACAAACAAACATTCGCATTTATAATATCAAGTATTATAAGCGAACAAGTATTCATTTAAATTTATTTGTCTATTGAAATTTTCAATATTAGAACACATTTGTCATGAACATTAAAAGCAAAAATAAATTTAAAAAGAAAAAAAATTATAGTATTTAATAGAGATGTGCCAACTATGAATTTGGCCGACTAGTTGACTGGTCGTTTGGAAAAAGGCTGACTAATCTACCGACTAATCGGTTTCTGCCTCTAGGTTATATTTCTTTTAATAATGAATAATAGTGTTTGAAACTGTGATTCAAAAGTAAATAATGAACAGTTCTTTGTTAAGAGTTGTAGAAACTTGTGCCAAATTTTTTTGTTTTTGTTAATCTTATATGACACAAGTACTAAGTCTTCTATTCCTTCGTTCTTAATCTTAGATTATATTGCCAATTGTAACTTGATACTAAAATATAAATAATAATAATGACGCAATTTCATTTCCAGCGCTCTATTTTAAGAATAGTAATATAAATAAAATAACGGCTCGACTAGTATGTGCTTTTTGCCGACTAGTCACTACATATTGTAAAAGAAAGTCCTCCGCCGTGTTTGTCTGTCTGTCTGTTCGCGATAAACTCAAAAACGACTGCACCGATTTTCATATTGTTTTCACCAATGGATAGAATGTTTCTCGAGGAAGCTTTTAGTATATAATTTATTAAGTTTTTGTATACATTGGCTAAAATATAACGATATTTGTTGGAAGTGTCGGAAAAAAATAAGCCTAAATATAAAAAAAACGCTGCCTAAACCCTTTGAGATATATTAAAATAATGTATGGTGGAATTGTGTATCATATATAGGTCAAAAGAAAAATCCGCGATGTCTATCTCTTAAGGATAACATACTATATGCATTTTAATTTAAAACGTACCTAGCAAAACAAAGCGGAGCAAGGGTGAGTCGCTACTAGAATATAAATATGGCCGGATAGTCGGCTTGTCCGACTAATGGCTACTAATCGGTACATCTCTATTATTTAACCTTATTTGTTAAATATATAATAAAAGTAAATCTAAGAAAGTATTAACTATAAGTTTGCTAAAATTGCTATAATAAAATATTATAGCATTATGTACCCGAGATAAATAGTAAATAACCGATAAAATCGGATAGATCTGACACTCAAGCTAGAAAAATATTACAATTTCTTTCTAAAGCTACCACAAAGTTATCCCATAACAACGCGCTTGCAAGTTTTATTCTTTTATCAAACGTAAGCAATGAATAGTATCATTTAAAAAAAAAATAATCAATTATAATAATATTCAATGGTACTCGAGATTTAAAAACAACTTATTTTCTATGACTCCTTTTGATTGACAATTAAAATTATGTAATTATTTAAAATTGGTGTTCTTTAAAAAATTAAAGTTAAAAAAAATATATTTATCAGGCAATAAATTCTACAAAACTGATATCATGTGGAAAATATCAATTTAAAGTACACCATGCCTATTAATTGACTTAATAAAAGAAAAATGGAAACTGTGATTAGTTACTTCAATAAGTGATTTTAACTTCCACTATTATCTTGTTTTTGCATATAAAAGATATTTTGTAAAGAACTCATATTGGAAGAACCATCTATAAAACAGATAATTTATCATTAATGCTTTTTGAATAAGTGTGCCGACTGTCAAGTAAGTTAGGTTACATAAAATATATGTATGTAATGATACTTTGTTTCACTCCACATATTCCAAAAATGATAGTTTTTCATATTTATTATCATAAACCATGAGTATTTCATTAAAGTTCCTACCTACGAAAACAGTATCATGGGGAACACATAAGAACATGGTATATTATCGATAGAGACTGGATTATAACAATTTATAATATAAATTTGCATATTTAGCTAATTATCAAATCTAATCTCTGTCAAAAAAAATGTAGCCATATTTAAATATAATAAAATAATACAATAAAATCGTATGTTGTAGTAGCACAGAAAAAATGTCTATATTCAAAATGTCCAATTACTTCATTTGCAGGCCCACCTATTTTTTTAATTAATCAAATATTCAGCATTAGTTTTCACATAACCCAGTCTCTAATTATTGACACCTGTCAACCACTATGCTTTCACATGAACCACTCTATTGACATGCACATAATCATACACAAAATTGTTTACCTCGACCTGCAACTAATAACATAGGCACGACACACAATCCACTATCCAATCACATAGACACATATATGGTAGGCACAATATTGACATTAATACACAATCCGGTCCATTCACATCACGTGGTCCACAGTCCGGTTTATTTGCATCGCGTGGTCCACGATCCGGTCCATTCACATGGGCACGTGATCCACGTACTGGACAGTGAGGAACAGGTCGAGCAGGTCGTGGGGCTGCAGCCAGCGCCAGGGCAGCGGCTCACGGCAGGCACGCCGGACGCCACTAACCGCGTACAGCGCGTAGAGGGCGCTCGCGAAACACAGCACTGCGAACACTTGGAACAGGCACTTCAATGGCTCCCTGTGAATATACTGATATTTAGGTGTTGTATAGGTTATGTTTGCTCTATAACGTTACCGCTCAACCGATTGAAAAAAATTATACTACTACTATAATTGCAAAAGATGTACATGTGTGTATTATTATATATTTATTGGGAGTGGTGCCGAGGTCTGCCCTAGCTATGTCGACCAGTTATGGTCCATTGTAGCTCATACATGTGTGCATATGTAAATTGTACTCCTAAACAAATGCTGCAGTATATTACAGCTGCAGGGTTCGGTGGTCTACTCTAATTCAACATGTGGTAATCACAATACATCAGAAATGGTCAAAGTGGTATCTTATACTAGCAACAAAAACTAGCGACTCACGCTTCGCTCGATATCTAATTCATGTTTTGCTTCACATGACATTCTATCTGTCTACTAAATCCAAATCCCTTCAGCCATATTAACGTGAAGGAGTTAAAACATACACACACATACATACAAACATTCGCATTTATAATAGTAGTCCAATTATACTTTAAGAGATAAATATATTTAGTTATAAAACTAAAACTAATAAGCTATAAAGCTTGACATACGTTTTTTCATATTTTTTTATCTTCATAGCAAACAGCCTTTTTATAATATTCATTATTTTTCTCATGGTAAAAACTCACCATAAAAACCTTCTTAGACTATGATGTTTGGTGTTATGTTTCACGCAATCCCCACAGGGCAACTCCGTCTGAGTTGATACTGATGATTGGTCTAAAAAACAAATTTTAATTTCTTTTATATATTTACTATACTTTATTACAAGATAAATATTTTAGATAGGTATTTAAAAAATATTCATATTACGTGTTTTCTAAAATAAGTATTTCAAAGAATATTTCTTAATCACAATTTTAACAGCCCGCAACTTCGTCCAACACAGTAAAAACAGTCAACATATTAATGTGCATCTTTAATACTTGTATTACGGAAATCCATTGTGCCGTTACAACAGGACGAAATTACAAACAAACACACACTCACAACTCTTCCATTTCTAATATTAGAGCATGATTATATTAAAAATAGAACTTGTTATTAATAATATCGATAATTTACATTAACATGGTGAAAATTTCCATTAATTTATGAGATTAATATAAATATGATTATTCATGTAAATTGTAAACTATTCATTATAACTAATAAAAACACAAAGTGAGACAAACACCAGAACTAACTACAAATAATATATTATATAATATAAACACATACTATAAAATAAGTACTTAAATTACCATAGTCCATATTTGCTACAAAAACAATTTGACAAATAAAAATGGACGACACAACTAAACTACTGAAACCTACTAAATAACAAACCAAAAATCTACCATCAACTATCCTACATATAAAAAAATTACCACATTCAGTCTGTACTTCAGTCGAACAAGTTTCACTGTACATTTCTTGGATGCTATCTCTTTGACTATCACACGTTTGTTCCAATAAAATGAGTTTGGCTCTTAGACTATCTATTACTGACTTTAAAAAAGTATTCCTTTCATTTCCCTCGTTAACAAACCTCTTTAGAACGTTTAGATTATCTTCATATCTATCTAACACATTTTGCATATCTACAATAGCGCTATGAGAATGTTTTAAATCTTTTTCTAACTTAGTGACATATTTATTTGCTCTCTCGCACTCAATACATTTCGAACAATCAATGCAAGTTTGTAAGTTATTATTATTAAGATAAGGTTCTAAATCGTTCGTTTGAGTACCGATATTCATTACTTCTATATCTTTGAACACTTGTAGAACGAAAACATTCGTATTGGTTGATTGATTTTTAGTTTCAATTTGATCTCTAAACCATTTAATACAAGGTTCATTATCGTATGTGTTGTATGAATTCGCAATTTTTTTATAGTCATTAGCTGAGCCGCTATCGTCTTTATTGCTTAGGATAGAAAGTCCACATTCCTCTGTTTGCGTCCCAAAATTAATTACTAAAATATCATCAACTTTTGCACGGTTACATTTCTGACACATATCTTTCACGTTCTCAGTTTGTGTCGCAACAGTTATCAGTGATGTGTCCAGTAATTCCGACGTTTTATCAAAGGGCTCCGTAATATTTAGCTCAGTTAGGTTATGTCTGGACATGTTACAGAAACTTAATCTTATTTCGTCGTATAGGGACATGTTTGTTGCCCTCCCTTGGTCCTCTTTGAGCGCTTTTACGAACGCTTCTTCATCTAGCAGACGGCCTTCTATAGTAAAAATTAGCAATTTATATTCAAGCATTATAAGCTAGATTGCTCGCTGTATATAAAATGTACATATTACGTAAGGCATAAAATTTTCATATTGTTTTTATTAAAAAGTAACTATTGAACAAAATAATAAAAAATATAATAAAATAAAAAAATGACTATATTTGTGCATATTTTAGTTGTTTTAGATGTCATTCAACAAATATTGTTTTTTCAATAGTTACAAAAAAAATCAAGTGAGCAATCTAACAACCTTACATAAAAATGAGTATGAAGCCTCATACCTAATCTTGTTAAAAATATCAAAAAATCATATTATAATTTAGACATTAGCAAGCAAAAGCAAAATATCTAACAATTGCAGAATATAAACAGTACAGAGAAATTTTTGACATTTTAACACACACATTTATATATTTATGCTAATATAATAAATAGTAATTTATTGATAATAATAATCTATCCCTTTTAACGTCAGACTTTTCTTTAAGTCGAAAGTAGGCTAGTCTAACATTCTGACAAAGTGTTGTTTAGAGGAATTCATACATCTTTTGAGAAATAGTAAATCTCTTTCACACACATATTTACTTAACACGAAGATTTCCTCACGACGAGTGCTCTCACTTACAATGAGGTCAGAGGCGCGGGAATTGAACCCGTTTTATTTAGCTTTCCAAGCGGCTACTATTGCTACAACACATATATATCGTCGTCTTAGTTCTTATTGGATCAAACGACCAGTACTTATTGTACTTTACATTAGAGGTTTTTTCTTCTATTTTAAAAACAAAGCTTTATTTCTGAGACATTTAAAAGACAATAATTCTGTATAAAAAACTCTTTCAGTAAATCGGTCGTATAGACAAATAAACACTGAAATGACAATTACTAAAACATTATTTTTGTAATATATAACAACATAATAATAATAATGTAAACAATGTACCTTGAACAAATCTGCTATCAGCATTGAGACTATCCAAAGCTGTTAACATCTGGTCCTCCGTGTAGCTGATGTCTATGGAACGGTCCATGCGAAGATGGGTCTGGTTAGATTTGTTCAACATGTCCTTAAGCTCCATTTCTAGAAGGACCTACAATGAGATTAATGTTATTTTAAATATAAATAAATATGTTAGAACATTAAAACACACCACCATCTAGTTCCATGTTAAGCTATGAGGCTTGAGTAATGGATACCGGATAGTATACACTACACATATATAGCTTTAAATACATACATATTATAAATATAAATACTCATTGCTCATTACACAAATGAATGCCCGCAGCGGGAATCAAACCCGCGACCGCTGGCACAGCAAGTAGGGACACTACAACCTAAGGCAAACAGGTCGTCGAGATATTTAATGTATTTTATTGGGACATTTGTATTATGTTCAAATAAGGCTTTATTTCTTTCTAGCATGTCAAATTTTTTACTGAAGACTGATTTATGATAATTATAAAATATTTGAAAGGTTCAGAAGCTATTAAATTTAATGAAAAAGATAAGTTATAAAAACTATTACAAATAAAGAATTTGCAATTAAGGTTTAGGTAGGTAAGTAGATGAAACGAAAGGAAATTTCAAATGCCTCATTGGTCAAGTGGCAAGCTTGTACAGCTGCAGATTCGCAAGTCCTTTGGTCGAGCCTCGAGTACCAATGGATATATTAAAAAAATATTAAATCTATTACGAGTCTGTTCGAGCATTCTATCCAACCGATTTATTTCTTTTTTAATGAACGTTTTCAATGCACAGATTTGTCATCAAGCATTGGGAATCAACTAACTTTCACCTTTGTCAAGTTATACTCAAACGCGATTTCCTCCTGTACATTTTTTATGTTTTTATTGCCTTTCTTTCTCTATATCTCCGGTTCTAATTGAGCTACACGGTTCAGTTTGTTTTAAAAACACTTGCTGGAACAAGCTCTTTTATTTGAGCTTTTGCCCACTTTTTGGTTAGTTGGTGGGAAGCTAGATGTGAAGAACATTCAAATGCTGCGGAGCAGAACGGGTCCTCTATTTATAGTGTTTGGGTTTTTCTGTACAGAAATTCTCAGTAAAGAAACAGAAGTTCTGCCAGTCTCGCGCGTGATCTCTCACCGATCGTGTCGAATTATCGTCCCACTGGATTCTATGGCATGGCGATAAGATGGCTCTCATTCTCAGTCAGATTAGCCCTGTGACTGAAATAGATCAGGACATTATTAATACACAAAACCTAACCTAGTAACAAGCTGACCTTCTCCTTTACGAGGTTACCTAACTAACCTAACCTCCGCAACTGACCTTCTCCTTTATAAGCTGCTGCATGAACTCGTCCTGGTCTTGCAGGCGCGCGGCGAGCTCGGCACGCTCCGCCCGCAGCGTCTCGTTCTCCTCCAGCAGCGTGGACTGTCTGCTCGCGTACATGTCGTTTATACGGTGACACTCGTCCTTGGACTTCGACAGCAGCTCTTGCAGAGTTAGTTTCTGTGGTGTGATAATTTTTAAATTATTAATATTGTAATGTACACTATACAGCTCACAAAATAAGGTTTATATTAATAATTACAATATATATATATATATATATATATATATATATATATATATATAGATGTATATATATTCAATTTTATTAAAGTGTCCGTTTCTTATTATAAGCACTAATGCGAGGTAGCGATACCTCAGTCTCCAACACGGCGACCTGTTCGGTGAGCACGCGCGCCCGCCTCCTAGTGGCGTCGAGGTCGCGGCGGACGTCGTCGCGGGCGCGCTCGGCGTCGCACAGGCGCTCGCACGCCTCTTCGTAGTCGCGGCGGACGTCCGTCAACACTGTTGACTCTTCACGCAACCTGGGGACAACACATATCACTACATAGTATAAAAAACAAAGTCGCTTCCCGCAGTCTGTCTGTCCCTATGTATAATATGTATGCTTAGATCTTTAAAACTACGCAACGGATTTTGATAAGTTTTTTTTAATAATTGAGTGATTCAAGAGGAAGGTTTATATGTATAATACATGCATAATATAATACAGAAAAGCCGAGAAATTCAAAGATTTGTATTTCAATACTAACTGTTAGAACGTACGTAGGGACGAACCCGAGGAAAGCGAGGGTGAGTCGCTAGTCATATAATATTAAACATATTTTGTGTATCTCGAAAACGCTCTTACGATTTAAATCAAAGGCATTTTTTAAGGTTCCGTAATCAACAAGGAACCCTTATAGTTTCGTCATGTCCGCAGCTTAGCTCAGTGACTCCTTAGTACTAAAAAGGCGTACTTTTACATGAAAATACATATTAGTCACGCTGACAAAGTGGTAAAATAAAAGCAAAAAATTTTTTTTAGGTAACCTCCTTTACCCGCAATGTGGGATGGTAAGATGTTTTTTTTCGTCTTTCCCATGGTGTCGTTGGATAGGTATTTTAAAAATATTGCGGGATTGTAAAATATTTTTTCAAAAAACACACGCACAGGTTCAGGACCCAATAAACTCCAAGGCATCAAAGTGTAATAAGACTTGTGGATTTGGTCATGTATGATAAATACAGATATTGCAAAGAACACTGAACACTTACATATTGAGATGTGCCCTCAAAGTGTCCCTCTCAGCAGTCACCGCCGCCAGCGCCTCCTCATGATGGCGGTCCGAGTAATCGAGCTGCGTGCGCAGCTGCTGGACCGCGTGAGACTTCTCGCGCAGCTCGCATTGCAATTCTTCTAACAGTTGGAAACCTGCAAAGATTATGGTTAAAGGTAGATTGTACGAGAAAAATTATGTAACTAATTATATAACTAATTATATTTAGAGTTTTTAATCAGTTCATCTTAACAGTTAACTCTTTTTGAATACGCGTCATGTTAGAATAATTTAATTATTTTTACTATTTCATTGTATAGCTCTGAATTCGTAACATGTTTCTTATTTTATTCTTTTATTGAACCCATTTGATAACCCTTTCGTTACTTTCCAATAAGAAAACAGTTGTTCTATTTATGGCTGACTTCCAAAACTAGGCAGTATGTAATCATTTTGCTGGAATTTATCTGAACGTTACATGATATCATCAACTGAATATATTTATTATTCTTTTTTTTTAATTTACCTCAAGGATGTTCAAAATTCCACCTTTGTGATCTTTTTTGTTATTGAAAGAAAAACAAAACAATGAATATTAGTAAAGCTACGTAATTCAGCGACGATCGTTTTTTATTCGTTAGGTATATGTATGTTTACAAATACGAGCTATTTTAGTTCCGCCACATGTGCAGTACGCGGACAAAATCTTTTAACAGATGGTAATAATATTCAACTACAAAAACATGTTACATCATGCTATGAATTTATTATATATTTCGTATAAACGAAATAACTTTTTGGTCAATAGAATCCTACTAATATTATAAATGTGATTTTGTGAGCATGGATAGATGGATGTTTGTTACTCTTTCACACCAGAACGGCTGAACGGATTTGGATGAAATTTAGCACAGAGATAGATTGTAGTCTGGAATAGCACATAGGTTACTTTTTATCCCGGAAAAATGTGCGGTTCCCGTGGGATAGATTTGTTTGTTGTTGTTGTTTAGGGACAAACCTGAAGTGAAGCGAGGGTGAGTCGCTAGTATCTTATGTATGTTAAAATTTAAAGATACATATATAATAAGACAAGTTATATTATGTTATTCAATTTTACAAGATTCTTTTAATAAAATTGGGTTCTTTAGTCTGTTTTAGTATATTTGATTTAGATTTTAGACTTTACTTAATTATATTTAAGATTAGCATTGCCCGCGGCTCCGCCTGCGTTCCGTTGATCAAAAACTAAATTCTTAGGTTTTACATATTAAGATACTCTTACAATGCAGTTTTTGTATTTATTCTCAGAAATGAGATATTTTCCCACGGTAAAAAGTATCCTATATGTTGGCCCGGGTAAAGAGCATCACCATACCAAATTTCATCAAAATCCCTTCAGTGGTTTTTGTGTGATGCGGTAACAGATAGACAGACAGACAGACCATAGATTCGGCCTCTGTATCGATAATAATGTTTATTACAAGAAGATTTTCCAAAAAATATCTAATGTACAGATTCGGCTTAGTTACAATATTATTATATGTATAGAAAATATTATTATATTTAAAAGAAAACCTTACCACTGTTTTGAACTCTAAGCAACCTCCTTAGAAACTTCCATAGCAAACAATATAAAAGTAAAATATTATAAATACCCATAACTAAGATTAATAAAAAAAAAAAATTATAAATCATATTGAAACTTAAAAACATATTTTCTCAGTCAAGTTAAAAGCAGACTGAAATGGTCGCTGTTATCTGACTAATTTTGCACGAATACTGCTAGACAAACTTACAATATAAATATTGGCATAAGATATTCATATATGACAAATTGAGTGCAGAAATGTTTACAAAATTTGTTAGTATTTTATGAAGGTTAGCTCTTTTTCAACAATTCTTGTTGATTTGAGATTCTTAATGGTAATATTTGCAACAGCCACATATAATGTAAGTATTTATTTGGGACATTTATTAGTATATATTTTAGAGGTATGAGACTGAGGGTGAGGGTTTATATCAGCTTCAGTTCTCAAAGCAAGCATGCTTCCAATGTATTACAATTTTATTTTTAAGTTTAATTAGTAAGTGTTCACTATTTATTGTTTTAGATAGATTCAGAGTTTAGTGTGTTAATCTTACATCCTTTTATATTAAAACTTTTTATTATAGCCGTATATCATGCATTAAAATAAATAAAGACATTTTAATTCGGTTAACTCATTTTGTTCATATGTATTTTATGATCTCCTGAATGTGACACCAAAATGACATAGCCGTAAATATTAAATTAAGTCATATCACCAAACAAATTATAAAGTAAATACATATAATAAATAGCACTGAAATAGTATGGTACATTTACTCTTACTAACATAATAACTTAGAAAATGTCCTCATACATTAGACACCTACATCTAAGGCTAACAGGCTAACAACTGAAATTATTATTATACATAATACAGCCCTCCAAGGAATATTGTATAAACAATATTAGATAAGATTTTCTAAGAAATACCCATATATATAGTAACAACTGTTGAAGTCTGAAAGAAGTTGGTCTCTAGTATTATCATAATCTCTACTTGAACTACATTACTGTTTATCAACTTTAAAATTTATTTACAAAACCCAAATATATTCACTATCTCACACAAAAAAGATAATGCTATAAAAAATCTTTTTAAACAACTACCAAACACGAATAACAAGTCCTAATCTCTAAAGAAATAATATTTTTTATATGTCGCTGTAATATATAATAAGCAAATAAGTCGCAACTTAATTTAATAAAATGGAATAAAAAATACTCACCATCAGTAGATATGCCAGAGTCAGAATCGTGTGGTACCTGTCCACTCCTTAGATTGAAGCTACATGTGAAGAGATAAATATTATATTAAATTCCTAAACGTACACTTGAATGGATTAAACGATAACTTATTAATGAAAAGAACACAATATATATCCCATAAATGTTATAAATGCAAAAGGATGAATGGATGTTTGTTACTGAATCACACCAGAACTGCTGAATGGATATGGATGAAAGTCTGGAATAGCACCTAGGTTACTTTTAATTCTGAATTTTTTTATGTATTATGAACTTATTATAGTAACAATCACCATAACTAAAATATAAATAATATATACCTTTCATCCAAATCAGCTTTTACTTTTTGACTCTCACTATATTTATTTAAAGTAGCTGCCAACTCTGACACACTTATTTCAGGGTTGCTTTGGTCTGGGTCCAACAGAGATTTAAGATAGCTGTACTCAGCCCTAAAAAATAATAAAGATAGTTTAATTAATAATCTTTAAGGTTTAACAAAATGTATTTCTTGTAAATATTTGAAATAATACCATCTTTTTTTATTAATTTAATATTTTAGAACGAAATTACTTACTTATTAGTTTTAATGAAAGGCGCGAATTTATCCATCAGCACATCAACTCGCAATGTACTTGAATTATCCGCACCACAATAATTGAAAATCTGAAGGGCCGTGACGATATATTCTAAAAATGAAAATAGACCACGCTCTGTAATGAGGAAGTATACCAACGCGTAGTTACATTAATAAACGTTTAAAATTACACTTACCATCGGTAATAGTATCACCGTCAGGATTCATTGTTTTAAGTTTTTTAAAAACCTCCACAACAAATAAGTAATAACACAACAAATTCAATTTCCTCACGTGATTATCACGCTTGTACTAATTAACGGTCAATTGTTTATATTTCATTAGTCTAAAAAAATTGTAACGCTTCAACGAAATACAAAAATAGTTTTGACTTTTGTAATAAAAACGGTTTAACATTTATAGGGTTGGATTATGGATATGTCATGTAAATATTCAGTAAATATAATCGATGTCGATTATTTTTAATAAGCTAGGTTCACAAAGACTGAGAAATTATTGCTACTCATTTTATATTATTTTTGTTTTTTCTTTATGTTATAATAATTATAATAAAAGATTAATTAATAATTTTAAAAATCAAATAAACTTTGAACGAAATTGTAAAAATTATTGAAAAATAAATTACGCCCAAAAAATGAATATAGTCCTTTATAAAGTGCTAGTAAAATCTTTTATACATATAAAGATTTATAACTTCGAATATTAGTTATTCAAAAAATCTAAGAGATAAATAATATAAAATTAAATTATTTTTTTGTATACTGTCAATATTTTATTATAATTATATATTATTGTTTTTCTTTATGAAGTATTATCGATGTTTTGTCAACAAACTGTCGACACTAGTAAATAACAGATTATATTATGCAATAGATAATAGAAATTGAAGATTATAAATAGACAATCATAGATGATAATATTCAATCTAAAAGTTTGGAAACTGTAAAAGGAAACTAACAATCTATAAATCCGTACATATTATAATTAATTAAAAGTGTCTGAGGGTCTGTATGTCTGTATTTCACGCTAAAAGTACTTACTAAATGGATTTTAACTAAATTTTATGTAATGATAACTCGTATTAACATTTAGGATACCTTTTACTACAGGAAAATCTCACATGCCCACAGGGAAACACTATATTCTATAGACTATAGGTAACTGGTTTGGCCGAGATGGCGTTCATACAAAAATTTGAAAGATTTATCACACATAACCAATCTAATAGCAGGGTTAAAAGTTAATATAAAAAGATCTATTCATTATTTTTTATTAAATAAACATATCTGAATGTATAAAACTATAGTGGATTTTACAATACTCTGTAAAATAAATAAAAAACATATTTTTATCGTGTTCTAATAGTATTAAGTACTTCAACGAGCCCACAATGCACCTTTAATACAGCAAGCCTAGTTTCGATCATGGTGAAATCACTAAGTTCCATCTGTAAGTTAAAAAAAATTGATATTTTTAAAAATTAATATGTATATCACACTAATAAAATAAACGCGAAATTTGTGAGTGTAGGTACATACATGTACATACATATATATAATAACAATTAGGCGTAGGTAGTGAGGTAGAAAAAAATTATAGTGTCCGATTCATTACGTCTGTCAATGTTAGCACTTAGCAGTGCTGACTGCTGACATGTGGAGGGTAGACATAACGAGTACTATCTCTCAGATAAAAAAAAGCATACAGGTGGACACTTTTTCAACTTGTCTCCTATATTAGTGACTCCTCCTTACTTCTATGTTCCATATAGTGAAAGTCACTGCCGATTCGTTACAAGATCGTCAATTTTTTTTGTCGATTAGTAGCTAGGAAACTTATATGAAAAATTAAATACAAGTCATTTTAATACGTACACCATCAGGAGGATCTTTTTCTCGCGATGGGAAACGACCGTACATTCGTTCACAAATTGCACACAAACCGCACCAAGTTCTGTATTTTATGGAACGCATGGTATCCTGAAACTTACACATTCTAATAAATATTAAAGAAAATCATGATTTAAATAGAGCCCTAACCTTGAACGGAGAGTTGAACTTGCAAACGTTGGAGATTTTCTTATAACTGATTGTCACCAACCTAACTGACCAACCTAAGTTTAGGGAAAGTAAAAAATGTAGTAAATGGATCGCTGAATAAACGCGTTAGGTATAATATTTTTTATACAGTAGCGACGCTACGTCTATTAGTAGAAGAAAGCCCAGTGTTCGTTTGAGCTTTTCCATCTATCATCCATCATAACTATAAAAAAATAAAATATTTTTGTATTTTTATTCTATATTAGTTTGTGGGTTAGCCAGAAATAGTACCAAGCCCTAACATCTTTGGACGATAAGAAAGTTTAAATTTATGACAAATATATTTATCCCTAATGTAATTAATATATGTATTTATAAGCTAATCCAAATAAATAAATATTATAAACTAATTATTAATAAATAAAAACAGCAATGTTAACCTCGTGTCCATCTCCCCCTTCAGTAGGCGTGTGTTTTCTATACCCAGTGTCTAAGAGGGTCAGTTTGATTTCATCTGGAATGTTTTCGTCTTCTTTATATTCTGACCACTCCATGATCGTCTCAAACTGATTAGATTGTTCAGTTGTTAGGATTCCACCCATCATTAGGATTAAGCCTTCATGTATGTCCTATTGAGAAGTATTTATTTTATTTACCTTAGTCGATAACAGCTTATTTGTTATCAGCTAAGTATTTTGTGTGTGGATTTAAAATACTGTAATGTGTATTTTGGTTAAAAATGATGTTTACCTTTAAGGGCATTCTGTACCCTTTTGGTCTGAATTTTCGTAGGACAGTCAAATAAAGTAACTGCTTAGATTTCTTTATTGTGATAAATCTTGCCGCGTACTGCATTGGAGATAAAGCTGAAAAAACAAGATATATGTATATTTATATATTATGCTCAAGCGCGGATCCTGTCATGACCCCCCCCAAAGCCAAATATACTTTTTTGAGAAGTTTGTAGTCTAAGAAAAGAAGGAATAATACATTTTTTTAAGTACCTAACTCGAAACAAATTCAGTTTTTATTCGTTAGTAAGTTTTTCTTTAATTTAAATAGCGCTATACAAATAGTCCGATCGCGATGTGCTACACAAAAAATTAAAACCGAAAGTTTTATGTTTTTAAGACGTTTATAGCAAACAAGACAAGTATAGCAAACCGTTTAAAATTGTTTTTTTTTGCTTTTTGTGATATCTTATCGAAAAATATTCTTTACAAAAGTTGTAGGTCTAGTAAAAATCTACGACTATTACAATAACCTCAAAGTTTTCGACATATTTACAAAAAAAAAGATTTTTAATTTTTTCTTGTTCTTTTTTATTACTTTTAATGCCTGCAAAAAAATTTGATATTCATGAAACTAGAGGAATATAATCTACAAAATACATATAATAACCAATTTTTTGAAATTGAAATGTTTAGCCTAAGATCAATTTAAATCTAGATCTGCGCCTGGTCTCAATTGTTTTTTTTAAATATTTAATGTACAGATTTTGTTAAATTAGGTACTGTTTTATTATATGTATATTTCAGCCTATGACCCCCCCCCCCCCCCAAATTTAACTCTGGATCCGCGCCTGATTATGCTACTTACATACTAGTGAAATAATCCGCAGCTTCCTAAAAATTTGAAATAATGGATTATTTGACCTTCCAAGTCATCTTATGGAACACCATCAGTACGTGAAGGAATATTTGACATTCAAATAATAAAAAACTAACAAGGTTTTTTTATTTATTTTTTGCGCGGTTTTACATAATCGTAAAAGCTTTCTGCCCAATACACAAAACATGTCAAGACGGTATAATTCAATACCCTCTAAAACAATACCCGTATACAAAAAAAACACAAAAAAAAACAAAATACCTTCCAAAGCATTAGAGTCAATGGGCAAGCTGAACTGCGCACTCTGCCTAGAGAACACGCGCGGCACGTGCAGCCAGTCGCCGAGGCTGACCGCCGGGACCCGCAGCTCGCGGAGGAGGCTCTGCATCTCCTGGCTGTGTGGACGCTCTGGACGAGTTCTTAACGCTTCTTCTAAAACGTAGCGACGCTGGAATGGAGTTGATATGTCAATTCATAGTTCATGTAATTTTTTTACTGAGGAAAAACATCTCATCTCTGAGAAACCTATACTAAACGTTAAAACGCAAGTAGGGACGAACTCGAGCGGAGCGAGGGTGAGTCTCTAGTGCCAATTAAATAAATTGTTCTACACACCTTGGTATCAAATTCAGTTTCAATAGCGTCTTCATCGACTTCCCTGTGTAAGTATTTTAATATATCATCATCTAGGAATGAATCAGTCTTTCTGACAGCAACAGCTTTGATCTGTGGCAAAACTATATCATCTTCTGTGGTTTGAGCGATGGACCCTCGGGAACTAGGGTTCTGAGAGTCTGTACCTATTCCTGCTATCTGTAAGTAAGTTGTATATAAACGATAATAATTCCATTTAGATAATTCCCCATAGCATGCGATAGCAGTATTTGCTAGATTACTTTAAGCTTTTTATTTAAATTATTGCGAATTTTGATACAATAAATTGTTATAGCGTAAAGAAGCCATATGAGATTGGCAATTGTTATATTATATTGGGTATTCCTGAGGTACTAATGTTTGTCAGAAAGGCCAAAGGTCCAATTCTGTAGTTTAACATATAATATTCGTATAAGTCAAGTTATAGCTATCGACGCCTTAGGTTTTTCCAACAAAGATAAAACCGCGCATTCATGGGAAAAAACAAAATAATGATAACTTATTCTTAATTTTTTAAACGATAAATTAGATATGGATATTTGAATTTGTATATTATCTAAAGTTGTTTAATTAGTTTCTATTCGCGACTGACAACCGAATATAATTTAGTAAATGAAATAGATTTTTTGTTGTTTTCACATTAACCAATTAAATAATTGTTGTGTAAATAAAAAAAGCCAAGAACTAAAGTTTCCAGCGGTTCTAATAAAATGTGTAGACGAGTTTCCGAACGAATTTTCGGTTTCTATGAGATCGGAGTTTAGGTTCCTAAATTCCTATAGATAGCCTACCGAACCTAAGACCGAAACCGGAAGCAGTCGGCGGAGGAGGAGTTCATAGTCCTGAGTAAAATACATACCTATCAACCTAATGCTATATCCCGTTACAAATAAAATTATTTTTTTGAGTAACTATAATAGCAGAAATTTTTTGAAACAAATTATATTACTTAATAACTTAATTTACCAAGGAAAAGTGTAGTCTATGTGAGTTTATTCCTCGACCTATATACTATCTCTATGCGATGGAATGCAAAGAATCGACGTGTTTCGTTACTACGTAGAAGGTTAATCGACGAACAAACACACTTTGACATACAAATTACATATTATATAATACTAGTAAGTATAGCAAGGATGTGCTAGTGAACCTATTATAGTTTAATTTATTTATATAAAATACAGAGGAATTCCTACTTGTGTTTCAGGGTCTTGTTGAGCTTGAGCTGCAAGGCCAGCTGATGTGAGGCGATCGCTTCCGCCTGGCCGTCCTTTTCGTCGACGTTTGCCGCGTCTTCGTACTTCTCCACCGACTGTTACGAAAATATATGGATGATTTATTTGATAGGCAGTGGTAGCCCAGTGGTAATGCGCTTGCTTGAAAAACTAAGTAGGGTTCGAACCCTGGGTGTCGTACCTCTGAGATTTTCATATGCGAATCATCTTTCAGTAATTACCACTTGCCTTATGGTGAAGGAGAATCTAACTAATTTTCAAAAGACATGTAAAGTCCGCTAACACACACTTGGCCAGCGTGGTGGACTACGGCCTGATCTCCTTTATAATGAGAAGACTGCACTGACACTCCCAAGTCTAGTAGTGAGACGTTAAAACTAATAAATCCTTAATTATTATTATTTAGTAAGACATTCTTTCGCTGCATATAAAAAATATATACTTGTATATTTTTTAAATTACCATTATCATCTAAAATTCCGCCGTGTTCGCTGCCGTCAATGTCATCTTTTTCTCCTTTGGACCGTTGGGAAGATGGAGCATCGCCTTTTTTGGTTTTAAGAGCTTTTCCGAGATTTAGCGCCTTGAGCTGGTTCTGAAAATAAAGATACGTTCAAAATTAACGGTAAAATTTATTCATCTCATATTAATTAAAAGATTTTTCTATCGTTCAGCATATTCTCAAAGATCATGTTTACCTCAAGTTTCTTAAAAAAATCACTATTATCATACGTCAAAGTTTTCTCTCTCTTAATTAGCTTTTTAGTTATTTTCATGTTTGGTAGCTTCATGCGTTTCTCCTGACCTGACGTACCCCAAGAAGTCGTTGACGAAGCTATTTTAGATGCCCCTCTTTTCCTACTCTTTGGCGCATAGCTTATAACAATCCTTGTTACATGCATGAAAGTGCATTCACAAGTTCTAGAAGCTATTGGTATTACTTTTAACGGCTTCCGTTTCACTTGTTTAGGCTTATAATTTATATAAAAGCTCTTATTGTTAGGCTTCTCTTTTGGATTTTGCTTCTTTATTTGTAATAACTTTGTCTTAGATATTAAAAATGGTAACATATTGTATTGTTATACTGACAAACTGATGGGCAGTAGGATAGAAAAGTGTTACTGATGTAAATAAGCGAGAGTGACAACATGACCGAACTTAAATGAAAATTGTACTATCAGTTATAACGTCAGCAGGCTATTGATTTACACTTATCAGTAGTAAAATAATAAATAGCTTTCACGCTCTAGTAAATATTAGAGTAGGTAACTGCAGTATAGGTACTGTACCAGGGTCAAAGATAAAAGTTGTTTTATGGAGCAAGCTACGCTTCATTGGTAAGTTTATGGAGAAAAATACTCTAGGTGCATAACTAAGTTTTGAACAAAGTATTATTTACTAGCGACTCACCCTCGCTTCGCTCGGGTTCATCCCTGGTTTGCTTCCCCATACAAATTTTCATCCCCATTTTCACCCCCTTAAGGGATACTTCCCGGGATAAAAACTATCCTATATATTTCCAAGGCACTCAAATTTCATCTAAATCGGTTCAGTAGTTTCGGAGCTTATTCGGTACAAACAAACAAACAAACAAAAAATCTTTCCTCTTTATAATATTAGTATAGATTGATAAAGTTACTTTAATATAATTCAGGCATTATTCATAAAATACAATAAAATATCATCTAAATTTAAGATTAGATACGCTGTAATATTAAAAAAAACTAACCTTTTTAATACTCCTCACACTAATCGGTTCTTTTACAGTTCTTTTCGACAGTACTAGAGGTGAAGCTAAAGGTGGTAACTGTTCACATTGTCCGTTAACCAGGCGATTGTGAGCACTACCCGATAGATTGAGTGAGGGTAATGTGGATCTATCATTAGCGCTCGCTGTATGTCCGGCCGTCATATCTGATGTCGCGTAACCGTGGTAGTAAAGAGTTTCCTATAATAGATGTAATGTAATAAAAACTTTGAGTAGATATGAAACTAAAAATTCATGAAATCTACTTGTTTTTTTATTCGTAATTTTATTTATTATCTAAGTATAAACTGTTATTAAAAATTATTAAAATTCCTATTAGGAAGAAAAAATAACAGAAGCAGATGGAACAGTTACTACCTGACTGTGACTCCTTCTTAAATCTAAGACAATTGTAGTTCTTGGATGAGGTTGATCGGGCGTGAGACATCTTCTGGAGCCTCTAGATTTACCGCTGGCCAGAGTTGGTGCTGGTGTCAAAGGTCGAGAATCAGTTTCAGTGTATCTAAAAAAATGTTAAAATTATAAGCTACTGATTCTCCATACAATCTTTCATCCTCATTTTCACCCCCTTGAGGGATGATTTCCGGGATAAATAGTATACTATGTCCTTCCCCGGGTCTCAAACTATCTTCTTACCAAATTTCATCTAAATCGGTTCAGTAGATCCAGAGATTACCTCCTTCGACGTCACAAACTCACAATTCACAAACTTTACCACTTTAAAATATTAGTATAGATTGTTACGCATCTACTATGATATAAAAGTCTCGTTATAGATCGCGGGTTCAATCCTGCACATAGCAAATATTTATATCGGTATATGAACATAAATAAGTAAGTATATATGTACTTCCTAGAGTTCCATCATCAGATAAGCTATATATTATATGTAGGTATTACATAAATTATTATCATTCGGATTATGAACAAGGCACACTTCTAATCGAAATATGTACCTGCAATTAGAAGTAGGTTTTTTAAAAGGGACTTAAAAGATTTATTTATGTAGTTATTTACATGTGGAGCCAATAAAACGTGAGTAAGCAAAACTATTTTTTTACGAAAAGTTACGTAAATGTAAACAAGGCAATTGTATTAATTATACATAGATAAAAAAATTGGGAAAACACATAATGCTTTAATCCACAATTTGACGACACGTTTCGCTGTTTGTAGTAACCCTACTTACTGTGCCAGCGGTCGCGGGTTCGAGTTCCGCTGGAGGTATTCATATTATGTGTAATGAGCCCGAATGTTTTTACTTTGGTCATGGGTGTTTATATTTATAATATGTATGTATTTAAAGTTATATATGTGTAGTGTATCAACTATCTGGTATCAATAATACAGACCTCGTAGCTTACCATGGAACTACATGGTGTTGTATGTTAATGTCCCAACATATTTATATTTAAAATCGATTAAGTATGATAGGGCTGTTAGATATATGATAATATTTGTTATATAATAAGTAAGTATTATGTAAGTACCTTCTAAACATATCTTCCGTAACGATGTCATGTGGGGTTCTGTTCTTATCTTTTTCATTATTATCTTGAAACTTACTTAAATCTTCTTGAAAGTAATGACCTTTGCCTTCAAGGTACTAGAAGAATTGAAACATGATATTTTAATCTATACATATAATAAAATTGTAACTAAGTCGAATCTGTACATTGAATATTTTTTGGAAAATCTAATTGAAATAGACATTATTACCGATACAGAGTCCGAATCTATAGTTTTTAGAATTTGTCTGTCTGTCTGTTACCGCATCACGAGAAAACCACTGGACAGATTTTGATGAAGTTTGGTATGATGATAGCTGGTTATCCGGGTCAACATATAGGGTACTTTTTACCGCGGGAAAATATCTCATTTCTAAAAAAATACAAAAACTGCATTATAAGAGTATACTAATATGTAAAACCTAAGAATTTGCTTTTTGGTCATCTAAACGCGGGCGGAGCCGCGGGCAGTGCTAGTCGTTAATATAAACTTTGAAATTATTAGAGTATTTCATACAAGCAAGCCGCCAGCAATTCATGAAACATTGTACATTGTAATTGCCTAAAAGCTGTAATTACAAGAAAACATACATTCACGTTTATATATTTTATACAATAAGTAGCTTTTACTCAGTAGAAATTATTCGTATTCAACCAGCGAGTAGATTGTTCAACATGCAGCGATGGCCATGAGTTCTTTCCCGTTCTATGTACATTTTATGTTATATGCTCGTTTATCTCAGCCCGGATTAGATTTTACGAATATTTCGAACTATTTCAATGTAAAAGCATTGACTTAGAATCGTTCTTAGGTCAGTAGAAAATCAAAACAGACTAGTATATTATTTAAGTAGGTCTATTTTCTACATTTAAGAAATAGATTATTATTATAAATGTCTCTAGTTATAGAGTCTCAAATACGTATACTGTTGGTATCTACAAAACATTATCCATTACCCAAGCATCCTTAGCTCGTTTGACAAATTCCTTAGCTGTCGTGTCAGCCGGGTGGTTGCAGAGCACAGAGCATGCGTTCGAGAAGGGATTGTATAGACCAGCATACGGCCGTAGCATAAATGGTGCAGGTGTAACGTCACATCGTAGCTGTAGATTGCCCTGGTAAAGATATAATTTAAAATATTCTTCATGAATATGATTTAAATTCATTTTAATAATTATTAGATACATACCTATTCTATTATTGATAATAGCTCCAATTTTTACCTACATACATAAATATACATAATATGTAGGTACATCGGTATACTAATATCAGAAAGTTTGTACCTAGGTATATGTGGTTATGTTTGTTACTTCTCGGCTGGACTGGATTTAGACAAAATTTTGTATATAGATAGGTTATGACCTGAAGTGTACCTACATTAAATAAGTAGTACGCATGCAAGGACGTATCAGAGTGAAACAAGAGTAGCCATTTTGTACAAAATATTTACAAATTATAAGCACAAGCCTTCCTCGTTTATCGCTCTTTCAATTATTGAAAACCGTATCAATATCATTGTGTGGCTTAAAAGAAATATAAGTGCAAAATCCGGCAAAGGCAGACAGCGACTTGGTTTTATAATAGGTACGATTTACGTAGAGTATGGATAGCTGATAGCTGACATGTAATTTAATTTAAAATGTAAAATTGACGATTCAAAAGTACTTGTAAAAGCCTATTTGGATAAAGTACCTATATTAAATATTTTGATTTGATTAGATGTAGATGAGCGATTTGCGCCCGAGCTAAATTTTGTATTTTCTCATGAACGTGAGAGATTTTAGCGCCGCTAAATTGATAAATTTGTTAATTTTTAACCCTGCTACTAATAGTTTATATACATACTAGCGGCTCACCCTCGCTTCGCTCGGGTTCACCTCTAGAAAAGCACAAACAGATCTATACCACGGGAACCGTTCATTTTTCTGGGATGAAAAGTAACCTGTTGTTTGACCGGCAATATAAGGTATCAGCATGCCAAATTTTACTAAATTGGGTGCATAAGTTGTTGTGTACTAAAATGTATAAGTTACTATAGTTTTTTAAATATCCCACGGAAATTCTTTAATTTTCTGGAATGAAAAATATCTTAGATGTTGACCGGGGATATAAGGTAGGTACTACCATGCAAAATTTCATTTAAATCGGTTCAATAGATTCGGAGATTAGCCCGTACAAACAGGAAAACAGACAAACAGCTCGCTCGGGTTCGTCCATACCTACGAATATGTTGTAAGTATTATCTCTTTAACCATTTGTCCAAATTACATGCAGTAAAAAGGAAGTCTTTTGTTTTAAACATTTTAGACGATAAATTTACTGATTTTGTTAAGAATTCATAATTGTTGATAATATGACCAATAAACATGACCTACCGATTTAATATTTTTTAATATAAAAAACCACTTTTTGTGACTTAAATATAAAAGTTAGACATATGCTGTCGCTGAATTTTTTGTAGGCATTATTAAGCTCTACAACTTTTCTCTAGAACATAATCATATATGAGAGATATATATCGTTAAGGCAGCGTTCGTAAGAAACGTTTTCGTTCGACCGTTTTTTCTCCGACTTACTTTGCAAATCCAACTACCATGAAAAAGTAATTTTATTCTTCGGGTTAATATATAGCATATAACACTCAGAAAGAACGTGGCTTTCTATTGGTAAAAGAATTTTGAAAATCGGTTCAGTAAATCCAGAGATTACCCCCTACAACGTCACAAACTTTACCTCTTTATAATATTAGTATAGATAATAATTGTGTAATAAGTCTTTGAAATTTTTGTATGAAGGACAACTCGACAGAATCAGTTATTGTTTTCCCGTGGGAATAAGAGATTTTCCTTAAAAAAGAGAAATTTAGTTAAGATCAGTTCAGTAATTTTTGCGTGAAATGCACACAGAAAAGAAGTCAAAATTTTCAACAAGTCCTAAGTATTATTTTGGGGTCTATGTATATTCTATAGGTACACAATTATACTGTCTAGCAGTCATTATTTTTAAATAAAATTTCATGTAGTACAGATTTCGCTTTTTTACTATTTTATTATAAGTTGCATATGTACGGATTTACATAATAACACAATGAGGTTTGTGAAATCTTTTAATATTATATATTAATTAATTTTTAAAATGATAGGAAAATCCAATTACCTACTCATTTTTAAGTATCTAGCGATAATATTTACTTGCTGTTTTTACTCAGTTCTTCGAATAGAATCGATTCATGTAATTTTAGGAACCAATTAAAATAAACCTTATCTCAAGCTCTCTTCAAACTACATTGAGCTGACCCCTAGTGGAAAAACTAACAGTTACTGTAAGTTTCCTAAACTTTAGGAAAACCTGGATTATACAATTAATTATACGTACATGTACCTATTTACATTACCTACGACATGCTCTACTTACAAAATCGGCATCCTTTTGTTTTACACTGGGTTTCTGTGACACACTTGCTAATAATCCTGTATTGCTAGTTAGACCCATATTTTGTTTACATAAATATCGATTAATCAAATACGTGGTAACGTGCACTATAAAAGTTAGCAGTACAAATAATGTACGTCTTGACAAGAACTTCTTTTTTTAATTCTCTCGCATCGCATGTTAATAAGTTTTCATTCTATATTTGTGAACAATAGAAATATTTTTATATTATTTTAATATGTATGTAATAAGTTAAATAGGTGGGTAGGTATAGGGAATAATGTCTACTTTTTTCCAAAAAATCTAATAAATACGAAAATTACTGCTTTTACATCCTCCGTAACTCTGGAACCGTTCTGTTTAGCAAGATTATGCTTGGTACTAATTTTGTTCACAATTTATTGTAAATTATTTTTGTATGACACTTTTTGCTTTAAACCGAACAGTTTTCGAAAATTTTGAGAAAAACTGATGAAAATTACTATTTTAACAACTTTTAACCCTCCCCCACCCCTCCCCAAAACCCGTCGCTCAAAATGGTGTTACTTTTTACCAAACAATATGTGGACTGTATAGAAGAATTTGGAGCTGGAGGGATACTTTTACGTTGGATGTTGAGGTTTGGGTCTAAGTGCACTGTACTATATCAACAGAAATAGAAACACTTGCAAAGTTTCAAGTTAATATGACAATTAGACGAAGGTTAAATTCATCATTAGCTATTTTTCTACCCTTAGTGGTGGAATTTATTTGAAATTTAAATGGGACCAATCTTGAAGTACACACTTTCAAACAAAACAAAAGTTGTCCAAATCGGTTAAAAAATGACGGAGTTCTGAGGTAACAAAAATAAAAAAAATACAGCCGAATTGAGAACCTCCTCCTTTTTGAAGAACTCGGTTGAAAAGTACACTGGCCAAGTTCGAGTAGGTAGATCACTACTTTTTCGTGAGGAATTAAGGATTATTAGATAATATATTTATAGATTATAATGATTATTCACATCACGTTAGGACATTCGTATATTAAGAAAAACTCTTACAAAATACGATAAAGGATTTTAAACAACCACAATTACCAGCAAAAGTTTAGGTAAACATCATATTAATTCTTAGTATTCAATGGAACAACTAAAACAAGATAATGAATTTTTTCACATATATTATTCAAAAAAATTTACACAAAAGCACTAAGACATCCATTTAATCTTATTGTCTAAATAAATGAAGTTTTAATCCGACACGCAACCTCTTAATTAAAAGATATAATTTTTCTCTAAAAATAATACTCAATCTCTTTTTAATATCGGAAAGTAAACGGCATTATAAACATAACACCTACCAAGCGACATTTTGAAATTTATTTACTCTAGAATATTCTATAACTTTAACTTTATTTCATCACTAACAGGATCTATTTATTACAAAAGGATTTATTTTACAATATAGTGCAATAAAGTACTTCATTGTGTACAGTGGGTGAAAAATTACTAAGATAAATTTACATTATTTAATTCACACTTCTTTTTTTGCGACATCCGTATTTTATAAACAAAAAACTATATGGTTTTCAACCACGTTATGTATCGCGTTAATTCATTTCGCTGTTATTTACTATTTTTACAGAGTACATGTAAGTAGTATAATATTACTTTATTATTTGTAAACGTTTACATCTATTACATATAAAATATATTTATTTTATAATAATTTACAATTTAAATTATAGAAAAAATATATTTTCACTACAATAGATTCAAATAAACGTTTATGAATAAAAAAGTAAAGGATTTTTTTATAATTTGTGAAATACAATCGATTTATAGCAAGTATTCAGTGTACGTACACTGCATACATATTGCCAACTTTTTAAATTCACTAGTTGTGAAATGTGTTAGTGTATAAATACTTTGTACTTAACAATATTTAACGTCGGCAATAAATTTGCAGTAAAGCTAATATGTCGTAAACTAAACAGCTCTGTGTTATGACTGTTCACAATACTATGCCATATAGTTGTTATTGTACGAGATATTTTAAGTAGGATTTCTGTTCATGTACTGTAAAAATCCGTTTCTCCCATAAAACATTGTTATTAGCCACTAAAACACTCGGAATATCATAAGAGAAACATAACAAACCGGGTATTATATTAAAAAATGTAAATATATGATTTCTACATATCATTTCGTAAGTAAATTACTCTAGATAAATAAAATTTAATTACGACCGTATTAGATTAATATATACGAATAGTTTTTAACTTGCAATTAAAGTTATCATCGACGGCACGGTATAATTATTGGCAGTCATAACACAGTCAATTACAATAATCGAGCTCTATACGACTTAAAAAAATATATTACTATCATTAATGGTCGAATGAGCTCACAATTCACAAGGTCGACATTTACACCTTTCCAATCTATCAGACCCAGACTGCTTCAAAACAATTTTTTCTCTGCCAATATCAAGAAAGTTTTATATTTCTTTAATTGATATGTGATTTTAACTAGCTTCATGATTGCGTACTTGAAATCTGTTCGTTTTAGGAGAGACAAATGAATATCGTTCCAACGAGACTCATAAACGTAATGTACTTATACTCTTTATTTACTTTAATTATGTAGAAACACAGATCATCAATATGTTCAAGTACACAAAAAGGCAAGTCGACAAGAAGGCAAGTCACAATCCCTAATTTTGTCTTAAAATTTTTACAAGTACAACGAACAACTATTATTATGTCATGAACATAAAAGCATAGATCCCTCCGAGATAGAAAATCGTCGGAGCAGAGCGGTCCATCCGTGAGAATGTAAACCAGCACCCTTAAAATGTATAATCATTAAAATATAAAACAATAATTTAATCTAACAGCACTCAATGTAAAACGTGCGACTCACATGTCGTCCTCTACAAATAAAATTTAATTATGACTAGTCGTTATAAAATAAATTTGAGCATGGAAACAAGCGTACTACACGACCATGCGACTATAAAAATATTATAAAAACTTAAATACTCGATTTATAAATATAAATTACAGGTATCGTCACACGTAAAAAACGAAAATTGTCCGATTGCAGATCGCGCTAGTCGCAACACTAGCGCTTGAACACTTGCAGTGCACAGTTGTCAGGAGACGAGCCTCACTTCACTCGATCACGACCACAGAGTCGTCGGGCGGGAGGCGCGCGGGCCCCTACGGCCGCGAGGCACGCGCGGCCTCCTCCAGTGCGCGCACCTTGAGCTCGCGCTCACGCTGCTGGCGCAGGAAGTCCTCGTGGTGTGCTGGGTGCAGGAACCCGCGCTCGCGTTCCAACAGCAGCTGACGTTGCAACTGCTCGTGTGCTGCTGCCTGTTGGGCCAGCTGCTCGGCGTACGGGCGGCCCAGCAGGTCGGGGTGCGGCAGCGGCCGGTACGGTCCAGACGCGCCCAGCCCCAGGCTCAACGCGTCCTGCTGCGCCTGTGCCGCCTGCTGACCCGGGTGCAGGTGCAAGTGCGTGTGAGAGTGCGCGTGCGTGTGCGCGTGAGTGTGCGCGTGGTATTCGGGGTTTATTCCTGCCATTTGCAATCTGACCATCGGGTCTGCGGCTAATGCCAATCTCTCGGCTGCCTCTAGTTGCGCCGCCGCGACCCCGGGATGCGGATGGTGTGGATGATGAGGCGGGGCTCCCGTAACTGGAACCGAAGGCGGTGGACCTCCTGCTCCCGCTGGTGGAATACCGAGCCTTTCAAGTCTCTCTCGTTCCAATTGTGAAAGTGCAGCGGGACCGTGACCCGGAGGGTATAAACCGAACTGTACAGGTATCGCTCCCTGTGGCGGCGGAGGTGGCATTCCGTAACGTCTATGCATTTCTAGCCAATGTGGATCAAGAGCTCTTTGACCGACGTTATTTTTAAGCAATTCTTCTTTTAACCGGTCATTCAGTTCCCGCTCCCGCAACTCTCTTATTTCTCTATCTCGTTTTTCTCTCTCTAAGTGTTCGAGTTCTAACCGTTCTCTAGCACCGGCAGCTCCATACATAGAACTCAATTGATATTGTAGCATAGGATCCATGCAGTGTCGAGGCATATTGCCAGGGCTAAAACCAGCGTGAGGCCTTGCATATTCAGATAACTGTCTCAAAGCTGGCGTATCAGGATAACCAGGTGGTCTAGGAAATCTGTCATATGGTGACGTTATAGTTTCAATAGCACCTCTAGACGGAGGTTTGGTTTCGGGTTTTTCAGGAGTAGCTATTTTTCTATGTGCTTGTTGAGCTATTTTTTCTCTCTCTTCTCTATCTCTTTCGGCTTGCTTTCTTAACCTTTCCTCTCTTTTTCTTGCAAGTTTGGATTCTGGTACCGGTTTAAAGATAAGGTCAGTTCGTGTACATGAATTATAATCTCCTCTGTTCCAATGTCTCAAAAATATTGCAGATTGTGATCTGTGACATTCAGTATCTTCTATCTTAGGCTCTGGACTAGGTCCATGAGGTATATGTGCTGGGCTTGGTATTTCTTCTTCTTCTGGTTGTGATTGAGTTTCAAGTTTTAATTCAGGATTTTCTTCTGGTATTGGTCGCGGAGGACCACGTAAATGCGGATGCCCATGAGGCATCTGGTGAGGAGATCCTGATCTTGCATGTGAAGCTTGTAAACCAGCCGCAGCTTGAGCATGGAGCCGCAAGCTTTCAATAGAGCTCGGACCAGGACCAGGTGGTAATCCTAAGCTTAATCCAGGATGACCCATAGATGGGGGCTGAATCATAAGGTGGTTTGGATTTCCGGGTAACATTTTTGGATGATGACGAAGAAGCATGGAGTCCGCTGGAGAGAGTCGTTCTGGATGATGAGCCAGATGATGAGAATGGTGATGAGTATGATTATTTGATACGTTTACACTTGAAGATGAACTCGTTGTCTGTGATACACTGGCAGATAAATGAAGTGGTGAACTAGAGTGTGAACTGGATTTTTGCTGCGTATTAATTTTATGCTGAATAGACTGTGATGAACTACTAGAAGTAGAATGAGATATTGAAAGGGTATGGTTAGTACCCCCTCCAACATGGCTGGGCTGTTTTTCTGTACTAGTATGTACAGCACTGTGATGACTCGTTGAATGGTGATGAGTCATTGTGGTTTCGTGCAGCTGATGTCTCTCAGTGGTTGCATTTGGATTTCTGGGGTCTTCAGAGCTTTCAGAAATTTCTCTTAAAGAACGCGTGGTTACTGATGAACTGGTGCTATGATGTGCGCTAAGCATAGTCGTTGATTCTATCGTTGACGGTTTCACTGGGTCATGTCTTCCTGGTGTACTCGATGCAGGGTGCATTGGCGGTATGGGATGATGCTGTGGCAAAGGTCCATAAGGATATGGGTATGGCATTGAATAGCCTGGGTGGGGGTGTGAATAGTAAGGATGCATAGCGTGGGCTGCTGCAGCAGCCGAAAGTTGGAAAATAGAGGACGGGTGAAGGAGATGGTGATGGGGATGGTGAAGAGGGGAAGCAAACGGATGTGGAGGTGGATGTCCAGGTTGTTGTCCAGAATGCATAACAGGGCCAGCCATAGTAGATGGGATCGTAAGTGGTGTCGGATTCATTAAATTTAGAGCTGAATGAGACACTGGTGTATTTGGTTGTACAGGCGAGGCTGATATTTGCCTTGGTTGAGATGGACTGGTTAGATGTCTTGAAAAAGGCGATGTCGTAGCTCGTTGATGACCAGGAGTTCCGTTGTGACTTGGCTGACTTTTAATGGGTGTAGGTGTATGTGGACTTTTAACAGGTGGGGCAGCGCTTGTAGTATCTGATCCACTACCTTGACTTGTTGATACCGGCGTTATATGAGGTTGGTGAAGGAAATCCGGTTCTTTCTTAATACTTTCTATTCTTGGGCCAAGGAAAGGACTTGGCATGTTAGAATTTTCATTCTGTGGTTGACTTGGAGGTCGACTATTATTTTCAACGCTTGATATCGACTCCCTATCCCTTTCAGAACTTAAGTGTTGAGCAATAGCACTTCCAATTGGATAGCCAGGAACTTTGACTTCCTTGAGTGACTGAAGAGGATCAGATACATTTTGTGTAGATAAATTAGCTGGCATATTATCTGGCACCTCTTGTTTAATTTTAAGGTCCTGTGGCATACCTGGATCATTTTGGTTAGATTGTTGAGATATAAGATTTGATGCAGAATGGCTATGTGAAGGAGGTACTTGCTGCATTAATGGAGGCAAAGATCCAGGCTTTTCTAATCCTGGGTGACCAGGATGTCCATATAATGAAGCTGGCATAAATCCATAAGGATTAACATTAGATCCACTCCCAACAGATATAAGAGGACCTGGAGGTAAAAGTCCTGTTATTGATGGTTGACTCAGAGGAGGAGGCATACTTTGTACAGATACAGGTGTAATATTTTGAGTTTCTGTTGATCTTACACCAAGATTTTCAGGTCGCACACTTGGTTGAAAGATTGGAGGCCTTAAGTTTTGAGAGTCTAATTTTGGGATTGGCTGTGTTTTTAAATCAGTAGGTTGCTTGTCTTCTACTTCAGATTCTTGTGATTTCATGTCTTGCACATTTGCTGGTGAAATTGGTTCAGTGTTTGTAGCTGCTGGATGTTCCATATGTGGTGGCGACGATGCCCTTGCGTTTGTCGGTGATGGACTGATTCTTTGCATAGTATCCAAACGAGGTGTGCTAGGTGAATCTACCTTACTAGCAGTTGATATAGTCGCTGTGAATATTTCAGGAGTATTTTGACTTTTCATTTCAGATGTGTCATCTCTAGGTTCAAGCTTGATCACTGTTTTCAAAGGATTTATAAGAGGGTTATGTTTATTGGGATCACTGGCGAAATTAATGTTAGGTGCATATGAAAAAGGTGGCAATCCACCAGGAAAATCTTTAGTGTTTCTTATAATTGAATTATCTTTTGTCATATTTGCTGGGTTAAAAATATTATTAGGAACACCTTCAATTTTGATGTTATGATTAAGTTTAGGATTATACATATGGCTATCTTTAACAAAATAATTAGTATTTTCTAAATTCAAAGGCTTACTTGATTGACTTAATGCATGACCTGAGAAATTATGTGCAAGAGGATCTTTCTGAAAGTCTTCTTTTTGTAAATTAAGGGTGTGTTCTTCTGTATCTATTTCTTCTTTTATTTTAATCTTTTCCATGACATCAGTGGACATTGGAGTAACTTTTGGTATAATAAGTTCAGTTTTTGGAAATAGTGGAAGAGGTCTTGGTTCCATATTATCTGAATTTTTAGGAGTATTTGAGTCTGTTTTTAAATCAAGAATGTTTCTATCATCCTTTTCAGGAACTACCTTAAAGATTGGAGGTAAAACATCTTTTTCTGTTTTAATGATAGGTTCTGAATTGTCTGTCTTAATTTGTGCTTCTCCTTGTTTCTGAGGTTGTTCATGCTCAGGTTCCTTATTCTGATCAGTATTTTCTTTGTCAGTTTTGCTAAAACTAAAATCACAAGCTTCTGGTTCTGGTTCAACACTTTCTGTATCATCCATCGCAGGAAAACTATCATTTGTCAAACTTTCTGATGGACTCTCAGGAGCATCGGCAGCTTTCTTTTTCTTCATTTGAACATCACCATCCATAATACCTTCCAGTTTAGTATCATCAGGAAGACGCTTTTTGACTTTGGAGACATCTATTTTACCATTAGCTACTTTCTTTTTATTATCTTTAGCAACTGGCAATGATAAAACTTTTTCTTGTATATTATTATTTGTACTTTGTGTATTTGGTTTGTTGTTAGATTTGTTAGGTTTTGTTAGATTAGATTTAGAATCATTATCACTTTCATCTTGACCTTTCTTGCCATTTGGAGTAGTTTGTTCTTTACATTTATTTCTTGTTCTCATTCTGCTTGGAGAATCATCAGGATTTTCAACCCTGCCATTATCAACCTTAGCAAGATCTCCGGCTTCTCTAGAATCACTATCATCTTCAGAATTTTCATCTTCTGTGACAGAACTCATTTCACCTGCTTCTTTTGGATTGGGTGAGGGCCTAGAACCATTTGTATCAGGCACTGTGGGTGTTGCTTCTGGAGTTTGCTCCTTAGGTGTCCCTGCACGAGAATTCCTTGTATTGCGAACACGCCTCAAAGAAGCCTGTCGACGTCTTCTGTGAGGTCTGTTACTACTTGCCCCGGGAGTCTTTTTCCATAAATAATAAAACTCAACTAATTCAGCAGTATCCTTGTGAGGAAGTAAATCTTTTCTTATCTTAAAGAAATTTTTACCGAATTGTCGGATACCTTTTACAAATCGTTTCGATTCTTCTTCTGACCACTTTTTTTCAATTCCTTTCGGGACTGGGCATTTTACTAGTGCCTGTAGAGCCCTTCCCGGGTCGTAACCAGAGTCATGCAAAACATCTAGAGCATTGATAGTTGTATCATCCCGACTCGCTGCAACGCAGCCATCATCTGGCGATCCACCATCACACATACCTGCGAATGCTGCCATTGAACGAGCAGCTCTCAAGTACATAACAAGATCCCTGTCTGTAGCCTGAGCAGGTAACCATCGCAACTCCTCACCACCAGGACAAGGTTCGTCAGGACCAAGTGGGCCGTTTGTTCGTATATCGGGAAGGCAAGCGTATATATCCTTATCTTTTACAGGTTGGGTCGGTGTTACTTGAACCTCCCCTTGGTTCTGGGCCATCGTAATGTTACTATTTACACTATGTTTTAATCTTTCACTCACATAATATAAACACTGTCACATTTACATAGTGTTTAAGTCAAACTTTATATAAACACACACACTGTAGTCCAATTTTATACGTATCATTGATGGTTCGTAAAACTGTAAGTATGCCAATATACATAATTATTACTCCTAATGGCCACCATTACACGATGCATTGTGCTACTATTTATTGACTTATTAAACACACAATTATTATATGGATCAAATTCACTTATACATATCGGCTATGAACTTTTGATATTACTATTTTTCATTAGATTCCACTAATAATTTAGCAAATTGTATCTACATGCTACCCTTTTGTTTAGCTTCACCTTTCTTTGGCTCTTGCCATAGACAAATTCATATCTATAAAATGGCTGCCACGATAGGACACTTTTATAAATAGTGCTCCATTGTACAGGGGATTTTTAGTAAAAGTAACTATTTACTAGAAAAAGAATTATGTTAAATAATGTGTTATAAGCCACGATATTTGTATTGTAATCAAAACAGGTTTTTTTGACAAAATAATATATAAATTATCATATATCAAGTTTTATATTGTAAAATATTGCAATTTACTTTTCTTAAATGCGTAGAATGGAGTTTCCTAATAAACAGATTAATACAAGCTTACACATTGTCTATAGCTTTATAAATAAAAATAATAATAATTTGTTAATTAATCACATTTTTAGTTGTTAATAAATTAAGAATTCTTTTTTATTGTAAAATATTCTATCTTTTTTTAAGAAGTTTAAGCATCTTTGTAGGATATGACCTACATTCTTCTAATATTGATTTAATCTGTACATATGTAATAGACAACTTCCTTATTTTGTCAATATTTGTTGACAGCATTCAACTCATAACTTTGTTTGCTTCATCTGAAAGTTCTTCAAATAAGAGTCGCCCTTCATTTATGCTAAAAGGAGTTTTCAAGTGAATAATTAATAGAGCAGAATTTTATGTACAATGACATTTGTTTACATTTAGAGTTAGTGTAATTTTTTATGCTGATCAATATATAGAAATGGCTTCTGACGAGTCAGATGATGAACCTCTGTCTAATTTGGCGGCTGCCAAGAAAAAAGACCCCGATAATTTTGATTATGAACCACCAAGTGAGAGTAGTGATGAGGAACCAAAGAAGAAGAAAAAGAAAGAACCACCGGCAAAAAAACTAGGCGTGACGATAAAATTTCATCGAAAATTAAACAATATGATAGGACCTGGGGTAATAGAGAGACCGGCGGATGTGTGGCTTTATTTAAAGGATCTTAACCCAACAGGGCCTTATAGTTGTTTATTGTGTTCAGATTGGTTTATAAATAGGTCAAAAATGATATTACATTATGCACTAAATCATAAGAAAGATTTTTGTGGTATTTGCAGGTAACACAATTTATTTTTTAATATTATGTTAGCATGAGTAACATTTCTATGTCCTTTCAGTAAAGTTATTTTTTTGAACTTAACATTAAGTACAATAATTGTTAATTCATTATGATCACACAAATACAATAAGATAGCCTTAAATTAAAATACAATGCTATAAGATAAATGGATATCATCGTGATATCCAAAAAAAGCTATTAATTATCTTTAAAGTATTTATAATTTATTAGTATTACTTTATATTTAGACTTATTTGTTTTGCAGATACTTTGTACCGGATAGAGATGCTTGGTGGGAACATGAAAAATTCCATTCACCATGGCCTTGTTCCCAATGTGTGGAGACATTTCCATCAGAAGTCTTGCTACGTAACCACCTTAGTAGTGTTCATAATTTAGTGCATTGCAGACTCTGCCATTTTAGAGTCACAGCAGATGAAAATTACAGTTCACATTTGTTTCAAAAGCACAATGTAACTAATGCTTCTTGTCAAAACGATGATCTATTTTGGCAATTAGATTATGATGGAGATGAGAAATTTATGTGCTCTCTGTGCTCAAAAACAGACTTATTGTCTTCCACGTTTTTTGGACATTTCATGGGCTATCATCATTTTACTCTTAAATGTTTGACCAATGTCATTGCCGGAAAAAGCACCCCATTTACAGTAGATGGTGCTGATGTTACTGACCGTTTTATTAATGAACAACTAAAAGGACATGTAAGGCTTGGTTATGTTGATTTAACACCAAAAAATGAACCACCTGCTGGAAATGTAAAGGTTGTACCTGTTGAAATTGTTATGCCTAGTGTTAAAAAAGAGGTTCAGAGTGATGCTGAAGAACAGAATAAAGCAGTTAGAGCAGAGGTAGTAACAAAAGATGAGAACAGTCAGGGTACTGAAGTATTAGATTATAAAGGTGAAGAAGATTTTGATGTTACAGTAACAGAAATGATTATTATTGAACGATCCTACTTTGACTATATAAATCAGCTCCTTTCTAGTGTTAGTGAAGATAAAGTACCTGAAATATCTCATATTGAGTATGATAAGCTTAAATCAGATTATCTAAACAATGTAAAATGTCCGCTATGTAAAACTAAATTGGAAACAGTACAGTCATTTGCGACACATATGAACAAAATGCACAGTGTCAAATCGGTGCCTTTGTATTCCTGTCGGGTTTGTGCAGCAACTTTTGATACTTACAATGATTTAACAATTCATATTGCCAGTGAGTTTGCTGATTTTGATGACCTATGGATATGTCAGTTTTGTGACAAGGAATTTGATAACCGTGAGTCAACTAGACAGCATTTAACAGAGCATTACAACTGTTTAGATTATGAAAATTGTTTTAGTCCACATGTAGGGTTCAAGTGCAAGTATTGTTCAACATTGTTCTGGAATGAGCCAGACAGAGAAACGCATCAGATAAGAGTGCATTACAATAAATACAAGGAATACTTTTATAAATGTGAACCCTGTTCTAAAACTTTTGGTGATAAGGTAAGTTAAATTGTATGAGAAGTTATTTACAATACACTACACAAATAGTAATTGCTACTAGAAATATCTGTATATATTGATTGATTATAATGTTTTAAGAACTATCATGTTAGTTAACAAATCACATTAAAATATCAACTTATTATTTGCTAAATTAAATGTGTGTTCGATAAAATACCTTTTTTTTATCTAGAATATTTTTTTACTAATTTGTCGTTAACACTGTTAACATTTTTTGTACAATCATAATACATATATGTCTGTAGACATATACATGTCATGTACATTTTGTTTGTTTTTTTCATTTTTCATGTACTTTGAGCAAAGGGTTGTACTTGCAAAAAAAAAAGAAAAAGTAAAAGAATTGAAATTGTATGAGTGAAATCCCTATTTAAATTTAGAGATCTTCAAAGAAAACACTATAAATAATAAATGAATAAAAATTATAAAGTTAACCATTTCATGATTAGTTAGTACTTTAATGTAAAGAGGTAATTGCACCCTCGTGGAAATAATTCTGCCACCGCCCATGTTCATGTAGCAAAACTAGCTGACAAGAGTACTTTTTTATTTCTATATATATAATAAAATTCTAAATGAGTCAAATCTGTACATTTCTTGAAAAATCTTCTTGAAATAGTCATTATTATTAATACAGAGGTCAAATCTATAGTTTTTAGAATTTTTGTTTGTCTGTCTGTCTGTTTTCCTGCAAATGCATCACGAGAAAACTACTGGACAGATTTTGATAAAATTTTGTATGATGATAGCTGGTTATCCGGGTCAAAATAAAGGATAATTTTTACTGCTTGAAAATATTTCATTTCTATAAACAAATACAAAACTGCAATGTAAGAGTAGACTAATATGTAAAACGTAAGAATTTGGTTTTTGGTCATCTGAACGCGGGCGGAGCCGCGGTCAATGCTAGTCTTAAATAACATCGAATAACGAGGAATCTATACAAAGCATTAAAACGATTATCAGAGTGTGTGTGAGTCCCTCGTAAATGTATAAAATAATATAAAACATTTTTAGATTGAGATTTTTTTGGCAAGAGAGTGACATAGTTATGTACTTTATATTGTGTTATATAACATGGTAAAAAAATGATTTGTGTTAATAACCTTAGAAAAAAAATAACAAAATATTTACTCTCTCAAAACTATTATCTTAAATATATCAGAGTTATCACCAAATATTTTTCATCTCTTAGTTACATGTGTAGAGCGCCACCCTCTTTTTTTATTTTTCATGAGTTGCAGTATTAGCAGTCATTGTTTAACAAAAAATGACAGTTACAAGTAGAGAAAAGACCACCTCAAACAGACTATTTTGTTTCAGGTATGGTACTTACATCACTACATAGAGAAGCATTGTGAAGACGACGACAAGGCATATCTTGTCAAGTGTTGTCTTTGCTGCATAGTTTTATCAGATGTGGACGAGATGAGGAGTCACTTTGCATCAAACCACCCAGAGGTCCGCAAGTTGTATTGTTCCCTGGAACCATGCCTGTATAAGCCTTTGAGTCACAGGAAGTCATTTAAACTTCATGTGAAGGTAAATGGGAGTTTAATTTATCTTTCAGTTTAGATAGAAATAACCTATACCATATTATCTTGATTTTCGTATATTAGTATATTGAGCATTTGTGGTCAGATATAGTAGAACATTGTAGGACAAAAAATTTTTTGATCTTCTTCTTTTCTTCCGGATTTGAACCTACAAACTTTGGTGTTAAGTATGGTGTCAGACAGACTCACATAGAGTTTGGCAACCAAGTTGAACAAGAAGCTTAGTATACCTTTTCCCCATTTAGCCTAAAGGGAAAAGATCCGCCAAGGTCAAGAGTTAATTATTAAATTCTCTTCAATCTGCTCACTTCGCCAAAAACCTTTCAACATATCCCACACAAAGTCATATTTCATTGGTGAACCCTACCTAACACTTTTTTTTTTTAACGTTGGGAAATGCATTTATGCACGAAGTGTGGGACTCACCGGCGAAGCCAGTACTACCCACTAAAACCCAACAAAACCTTCCCCCGTCTTAATGGGGCGTCGCAAGATCGCTTACGCATTCAACTACGACGCCCCGACGGCAGGTCTGCCGAAGCAGACCACAACAACCATGGGGTTGCTCCACGGTCCACTCTGCTATCAGAGAAGTACCAGGAGCAACCCGCATGGTACACCGCCCTCCGAAGATGGCCGCCTCCCACCGCCCACCAAAACGGGCCACCTCCCTGTGCGTTTCTTGGCTTCGCGAGTACACTCCTGAGCCCCCCCACCACGACAAGGTGAACGCACGTTGGCACTAACCTAACCCAACTAGCACTCCAAAAAGCTCGATATAAAAGAATTGACTTAGTTTCTCCCATGACACCATGATTGCAGTAAAGCATTCGAAACGTCGGGAACCAAAAATCAAAATAAATCCGCGAAATACATCCGAAAAGATAGTTTATGTAAAATAAAAGAATTGAATTGAAGATATTATGATAATTTTCCAGATGATCCACGGCACTCCCAAGCCAGAGAAAACAGTCCACTGCAACGTGTGCCAGCGAGAGTTTGCCAGCTCACGCGCGTGCGCGACCCACATGGCGCAAGTGCACGGACCCGGCAAGTTCAAGTGTAAACTGTGTAAAGAAGTGCTGCAGACTGTTGATGAGAGGTTAGTAGTTTAGAGGTGCGAACCACGCTCGATATACCATACTTTGTAAAAAACAAATGTATACACATAGATCTAAAATTAATCACTGTCAAACAAGAAATTACAAATTTCAGTATAAAGTATCAGAATCGTCTGGCAGCACACATCAATGAATTAGCGTGGGAACTCCAGGGCGCCAAAAGAGCACAATTCTTTCATCTGAAAAAACATATTTAAGTGTATTGAGCCTGGTTGACCACTTCTAGCCACACTGCGAGTGAAACATCAATGGATGCTTCTTAGCTCTAACTTCATAACGTCGTAACGAGTCATAACGAGACTTAAAATTCTAACACAGAATTGGCTTATTGTTTATAAACAGATTGCATTGTAACAGAATTCAAAAGATAAAATAAAAGAAAAAGTAGTTTATCTAATCTACCTGTCTAAATGGGGTTGGTAGATGAAGGTTGATGGTTATTTGTGTGCATGGGGTTTTGGTATTGGTTTAGTTTTATACTTGGATGACTGTTGATATTCTTATTGGGTTCTTGGGACTCTTGATACTGACAATAATTTCTAAAATAAGGCGAAGCTTATTGCAAAGGATGTTGCTCATATGTGTGTGCGTGTGAAATGTCAATTTCTTGACAAAAAGTTTGGAATCAGTGTGAGGTGGTATTACATGACTTGATTGTAGATATGAGTAAGCTTGTAGGTGCTTCGAGTATGATATAAAATATTAGGTTTTTCTTCTGGTATAAAAAAGTATATTATAAGCTATTTTACACAATTTCTCTACCTACTAGGTAAAATCAGAATGATTGGTTCTTCAATTTTTTTAACATAGGTTTTACAAAGTATTTGAGCAATTTTTATATAATTATTATTTGGGAGAGTTTTGAACCGATGAGACAACTAACTTTTTTCTCTAAGAAACTTCTATATTGATAGCTAATAGACGGTACAGGTGATAGTGATCATTATTAAAAATGCCATTTTTTAAAATAGGGATCTCCGAATTTCTTTTTAAACTTATATTTATAGTGGGTGCCAACAGACTCGAAATTATAATAAATATTATCATTTTCAGTTTCAATTTCAATTTTCAGAAAACTCCACTACCTCCTCCGCCATCCCGGACGTCATCCCTTCGAGTGTGTAGACTGCGGGAAGTCCTTCCAGTACAAATCGTCGCTATACATGCACAGACAGGACCACCAGCCGAACAAACAGACATACACTTGCAGTTATTGTGGAAAATCGTTTGCGGTGAGATCTGTAATATGAAATATGCCGGTTTTGTATGCGTTAATTTAAAAGATGCGATATAAGTGTATAACTATCCATGTATTATTTTACTCATTCTATTTTCGGCGAAATTATTATTGTTCAACATGGAATTGCATAGCTATTGCTTGCAGAATTTATGCATGAATAACGTTGAACATACAAAAATTTAAAATTTGTAAATTTTAAACTTTTGTATGTTAGTGGTAAAATAAACTCCTCCCGTTTATAACCTTACTAGCGTCTCACCCCTCGCTCCGCTCGGGTTCGTCTCTACTGACGTTTTAACGTTTTGTATAGATTTCTCAGAGGTGTGGTATATTCCCGCAGTAAAAAGTATCCTATATGTTGTCAACTGCCTCGGTGGTGTAGTGGCTAGCATGTACGGATGCACACGCGGAGGTCCTGGGTCCGAGTCCCGGGTCGGGCCAAGTTTAGTTATTGAGTCTTCCTGTATAGTAAGTCTCAGTAACAGCTCGGAGTTGGGAAGTTGGCGATGTTTCACCCCCGTGCCTCGGAGAGCACGTAAAGCCGTCGGTCCTGCGCCTTAACTCTCACCGGTCGTGTCGAGTGGTCGTCCCACCAGAGTATTAGAGTGATAGGAATAGAGAGTGCACTTGTGTCTGCGCGTACACTTGAGCACTATAATATCTCCTGCGCAGTTGGCTAATCTCATTGAGATTGGCCGCCGTGGCCGGAATCGGCTAGGAGAACATCATCATCATCATATGTTGACCCGGATAACCAGCTATCATCATACCAAATTTTATCAAAATCTCACAAGTGGTTTTTCCGTGATACGGTCACAAACAGACAGCCAGACAAAAATCTTAAAACTATAGATTGGCCTCTGTATCGATAATAATGTCTATTTCAATAAAATTTTCCATAAAATTTTAAATTTACAGATTCGGCTTGATTACAATTTTATAATATGTATAGATGTAGATAGTGACATACTCTTGCTTCAATCACGTGATGGAGTGTCACAAATATACACACACGTACACACAAATTTTCGTAATTATAGTAATAGTCACACTCAGATGATGTAACACTATGATATACCTACCTATAGAAGTCCTATCTCATATAAATAAATTGTACAGCATTAATTCGGGTTATTTTTTGGGTTATTTTTTGTTTGCTTGAATAGGTAATTAGATGTTGTTCATCCATAAGCTGTTAAACCATTTTATTATATGAAATAGTGTATACTAAAATATTATATTTATTGCGAATTCTATCCTAGATTGAGTTGAACTAATTTATTGATATTAGTAGTTTTTAAGTAAAGCGGAATAAAATGTTTTTTTGTTTGTTTGTATCGAATAAGCTCTGAAACTACTGAACCGATTTAAATGAAATTTGCTAAGAAAATAGTTTGAGCCCCTAGGAAGGATATAGGATAGTTTTTATCCCGGAAATCATCACTTAAGGGGGTGAAAGTTTGTATGGGGAAGCAACCTAGGGACGAACACGAGCGACGCGAGGGTGAGTCGCTAGTAAGTCATAAAAAAGGAATTCTCTATTTAGTAATATGTACTGTAAAACAATTATATGATGGCTTAGTTATACTGCTTTATTAATTCATTATTGCGTTATTTTAATTAGATTATTTTTAACACATATACCTTTTTGTGATATCTTTTTTTGTCTTTTGTTAATTTTCGTGTTAATCTATGGATATGATTTTTTGATTTCCCACGATATTAAATTCGTATTCGTGTATACAGAAGAAGGACTCGTACCGCGAGCACGTACAGATCCACGAGGGCCCGCGCCACGCGTGCTCGTACTGCCCCATGCGCTTCGTGCAGCGCTCCAACATGCTGCGCCACGAGCGCCGCCACACCGGCGAGCGCCCCTACCGCTGCGCGCACTGCCCCCGCTCCTTCGCGGACAAGGGCGCCTGCACCGCGCACACCAGGTACACCGGCTTTTATTATTTGTCATTTTGAATATGCTCACGAAAGAGAACTTTTAAGGATGCTTGAAGAATGCTTCAGGTTAAACCGGATAAGATTTTGCGGGTGCTTGTAGAGTTTTGAATGAATATGGTCACGAAAGAGATTATTTGTTTCCTGTAATGTGTAAAACGATTGAAACGAAAGAAGTACAACACATAGCAGAAATCAAACAACACACCAGCTAGCCTTACCGCTGCGTGCCTGTACTGAGCATAGTGCGTTTTACATTAAACATGCTTAAGAGAGATTGTAAAAAAAAGATTTGGAAAAGATCAAGAAGAAACAGACGGAAAATTGTTAAAAAAATTTTTTGTTCAAATGAGTGTCAAGAAAGAGCTATGAGATTTTATATTTCCTATAAAAAAATTAGACTATGATAATAAGGGTTTGAGAATTAAAAATTAGAACTAGTTCAAAAGCATAAAAATTAAATAAGTAGATTGTTAGACACTACTTATTTGATTTAGAAAAGTAAAAAATAAAATAACTATGGAAAATATAGTACATTTTAATAATTAAGTCGATTTTAATATTATGATTTCAGAACACATTCAAAAGACACGTCCTACGCGTGTCTGTACTGCGGGCAGACGTTCGTGCAGAAGTCCAAACTGACATATCATATTCGCAAACACACAGGAGAAAGTTAGTATTATTTTCTTTAAAATGTTTTTTGAGTATTATTTTCAATGCTCCACAATAATTTTAAGTTTGAGAGGAGATATTGAATTGAATCTTTCAAATGATTGGCTCGTGAATATGTTGTGTACATATGTGGTGTACTTTATTCCTTATAATGTGTATAAGTTAGAAAAGAAAATGGCATCAAAATAGAAAATATTTATTATATGAAAGCTATCTTTGTAGTCTAGAGGCTTGGATGTACGGCTGTAGATCTGCAGGTTCTGAGTTCGAGGTTTATTGGGTTTATTGAGTTTACTATCAAGAAATTTCCAGTAATACCCCACAGTTCGGAAATTGACGGTGTTTCACCCCCCTGCCGGAGAGCATGTGTCGCTTCGGCCCTGCACTGAAGTATCGTCTCACCGAAGTATAAGAAAGAAAGAAATAGAAAAAATATATTCATAGAAAATACAAAGTTTCAACCAGAGCTCGGAACCGGTTTAAAAAAAACGGTTTATTTCGGTAATGTGTGGTTAATTTATCGCTCGTTCTTTAACCGGTTGATAAAAAAGAACTGTTTAGTTAAGCGAAATAATAATGGTTAACGATTATTCTTTGAGAAAGTTTGAATTTCGGTTTTGATACCAAAATAAACCGGTTAATTCATTCATTACTCAGAAACGTACATGCATCGTTCTACTAAGCAATTCACCATTAGCAAAGACGCGCCAAATTTAAATACACAAAAACTCATTTTAACCGGTTAACGGTTGAACGGGTTTCCGAGCCTCGGTTTCAACAGTATATTTCAAAGTTTTAAAAGGTCCAATAGTTAAATTAAGTGTATATTTTCATCGGCTATCTATTTCCAGATCTAGAAGCGTGTCCGGTGTGTTCCAAGCTGTTCACGAGCGCGTGCTCGTTGCGCGAGCACATGAAGACGCACGTGGAGAAGAGAGCAGTTGTTAAGTGTCCGCTGTGTGGTGAGATTATGTTACCTCTGTGTTACTTATTTTATGATAATTAATAATTTAATTTTATACATATAATAAAATTGTAACTGAGTCGAATCTGTACATTAAATATTTTTTGGAAAGTCTTATTGAAATATTCATTATTATCGATATCTGTATCGAATCTATAGTTTTTAGAATTTTTGTCTCTGTGACCGCATCACGAGAAAACTACTGGACAGATTTTGATGAAATTTGGTATGATAATAGCTGGTTATCCGGGTCGGCATATATGATACTTTGTACTGCGGGAAAATATTTCATCCCTGAGAAATCTATACTAAACGTTAAAACGTAATTAGGGACGAACTCGAGCAGAGCGAGGGTGAATCGCTAGTAATTAATAAAGTTGTAAAGTTGTGGCATTCAATTTTTAGCAAGATTTTGAAAACGAAAAAATGATTGCTTTTTTTCGTTCATTTTAGAGCAATGTCTAATTTGTAAGTAATGCAGATTATAAAATTTTTATAGTGTCGGTGTTAATTTTCACTAAATATTATAAATTAAAAGTCCCCCGCCACGCTGGGTTTGCGTTTGTTCGGGCTTCGAAATGCGAAAGTTTGTATGTATGTTGGATATACTTAAACCAGCTGGATGGGATCAGATAAAGTTTAGGATACCGTCTTTAACCTGAAGTAACACAGACTACTGCTAGGTAGGTACCTAAGGACGCACTGTAAATCGCTAGTTATAATAGGAAGCTAAGTATAGCGGGTTCAAATCCCGGGTCTTGATTCGTCTTGAGTTGTGTGGACTATGGGTTTTTTCCACCCTTTGCTCATTGGTGGGACTATAAATAAGGCTGAATGAGATATATAAAAATGTGACCATTCTAATAACAACCTTATTCCTATCCAGATAAAGGTTACCAGGACGAGCGCTACATGCTGCGGCACCTGCGCACGTCGCACACGCGCTCGCAGTTCAGCTGCCCGCTCTGCCAGAAGCTGCTGACGAGCGCGGCGGGACTGCGACACCATGTCATCACCCATAGCCCGCTCAATACTTTTAGAGTAAGTTTTGATGTCCCTGAGAATCAACACAGATCTACTATTTTGAAGTGAAAACTTCTATTGGCAGTTTTGGATGGGGAGTAAATGCCATGTAAGTCGTCATCGACATGGTCACGTGACGTGTCAACGCTAACACTCTGAGTGCCGATAGATGTCAAAACTAGATGAATGATGAATGTAAACAGTTTTAATTTACAAATTTTAATTTAAGATGAAATAATTAATTTCAATATCCAAAAATAACAACTGTTTGTTTATAGTGTAAGTTTTCACTTTTGTCAGCAGTCCTCACGACTGTTTTTTTTAACTTACTCTGATAGTCCAATTGCACGGCTCTTGACCATTGAAAAGATGGAGGAAAGACGAGGCACAACAAAAAAATTCTGAAAATTTAAATTTAAATAAATAATATCTTTCGTATATTACTATAATATAGAAAACTAGCGAACACATAAATTGAAATAGTAGTAATTAATAAACGTAAATTTGTTTGTCTACAGTGCAAATGCTGCCCAAAATCATATGCAGTTAAGCGTACTATCGTCAAACATCTGAGGAAACGTCATGGCTTGAAAGGCGGCGAATTAAACCTAAAAGATTTTTATACTCGGTTAGAGCCCAGAGAATGCCAGTTGGACTTAGACGAAGCTACGATGACCACTATATTCGGACCCCCCAAGAAAACGATGCCAGAAGTACTGATAGCTGACTTTGTAACATTCTCTAAGAAGATTTCGTTTGCACAGAATGTGGAGAATAATAATACTGATGACACCGAAGATGATAATGATGCAGCCAAAGAAAGTGATAATGTCAGTAACAGCGAGCAAGAAGAGCAGCCACCTCCACAGATAAAACAAGAAGTTGTCAGTGGTGGTGAAGAAGAACTAGAACCAACTGACTTTGTCAGTGTCAAAATAGAATCCATGGAAGATGAGAATATGGAATAATAGTTACAATAATTGATAATTTACATTGTATGTTGGCTACAATATTTAATGTGTTGATAGTCTTCTATAGATCTTTTTCTGACTGCCTCGGTGGCTAGTATGTATGGATGTACATCCGAGGTCCTGGGTTAGTTTCAGGTTAGGCCAAGTTTAGTTACTGAGTCTTTCTGTTTAGTAAGCTCTAACACTAAAACTCTCACTGGTCGTGTTGAGTAGTCGTCCCACTGGAGTATGAGAGTGACACGAATATAGACTTTTCTAAACGCACTGTTAGATTTTAATATGCCTAAAATAAATGTTGATTGGTTTAATTTGATATTATAGTTTTATCTTGGTAGTTTGTAAGATAAACAAATATGATAGTGTTTTATTACTATGTAGTTAGCCAATTTATAATAATAGTTATTATGGATACATTTATTGACTAGATTATCCCTGTAATAAAAATCTTCCATCCTATTCCCATTTCCCACGGGTCTTGTGATTATTTACAGCCCATAAAATATTAATATATTTACTTAAACACTATATTATATTGAAAAATAGCATAAGATATTGAAAGTCTCATTTAAGATTAAAAAAATATCTATTATAAAATGCTTTTTTAATTTATCTGTGTATATTTGTTTGATGGTTGATGTAAGCACAAAATAAAATAAAGACACGTCTTAAAGTTATAACTAAAAGACTTTTAATTAACATGATTATTCAGGTTAAATTACAAAAAACAATAGTTTTTTTTTAATTAAATATATACTTATAATAAAATTTTGAGTCTGTATATTTAATATTTTTTGAAATAATCTTTATTATTGATAGAGACCGAATCTATAGGTTTCAGAATTTTTGTTTGTCTGTCTGGGAATGCATCACGAGAAAACTACTGGACATGTTTTAATAAAATTTGGTGTGATAACAGCTGGTTAGGTTTGTTACGTTTTTCCGGGTCAATGTTTATGACACTTTTTACTGTGGCAAAATATCTCATCTCTGAGAAATCTATACTAAACGTTAAAACGTAAGTTTAACGCTAAACGCTAATCATCTTTAAAATAGTACTGCATTAGATGAACTTTAATACGATGGAAATAATTATTTTATAATAACAATATACGTAAACTGTAATTTTTACACTCGATAATGACATAAACGGCTTTAAATGGAAAATAAATTTTCGTGACATGGCACACAAATGAGGTCTTACTTCTAAGAATCAGCTGAAAAAAGTCAACATGACAGCTGTCATACAGTCATGCGTTAGACTTTGGACTTGCGGATTATTGGCAATAATTTTAATTTTCTATATTAATTGTCCATATTATAATATTAAAATGGAATAATTTGGGTATTTTAAATAAATTTAGATTAATGTTGGCTGTTTTTTGACGAGCGTAATGATGTATAATCCAGCGGTGACTGTGCGTCGTATCGATGTTTTGATTCGTATTTTAAATGGTCGTAAAACAATATTGAAATCAAACTGCGTTCGTGCTTATTCTAGTGATGAGAAAATTACTATAGGAAATGTGACTAAGGAAATAACGACTCCTAAAAAGATTGAATATGTACCTAGGAAATACTGTAAGTTTGTTTGGAATGTTTACAATGTTTATAGCCTTTAATTAAGGTACTTAAATTAAGGTTAATTTTTGATACAATGAAGATTGTAAAGTAATATAAAGTAAGCATCTTTTAATTGTGTAATATAAATAAAAAACATCATATTTAATTTTTTTAAATGAGAATAAAAAAATTCTTACAAAGCATAACAAGAAATATAAAATTGTAGATATATTTTTTAATCTTCAATATAAAGAAATCCATAAGTATTAAAAAAAAACCTTTATTTTATGTATATAAAACATTGTTGAGATAAATAAAGTTGTATCTTAAATAAAGTATATTTCTAAAATGTCAGTAATGTTACTAAAAATGTATTCTAATTTTAGTAACCATAGAAGATTCAGAAATAAAATCTTTGTCACAAAGTACTCTCCGAAATCTAAGATGGATGTTACAAAAGGACATACTAGGACAGGATATGTTTTTGTTAGGAAGACCTGGGCCAAGCAGGTAATGTTTTAATTTTTAATACTGTTTTATTATTTCATTAATTCAATATAAAACTTTCATTAAAAGTTAAATTTGATAGGAGAAAAGTTGCTTTCCAATATTTGGAATTGACTCAAAGGGAACTTGAGTATGTGGCCTTGTCAAGGGATACCACAGAAGCAGATCTCAAGCAGAGGAGAGAAATTCAAAGTTCGACTGCAAAGTATTTTGATCAGGTAATGTAGAAAATATACTATATATTTCTGTATAATAATAATTTTTGCATAGAGTATATAATTATATATTAATGAAATATACCTTTACGTCTAAACTGTCTTAACATAAATGTAAATCTGTTTGTACTTGAGTGTAAGTTTCTTATAAGGCAATATGTGAAATATACATGAAATATGAGTGTAATCTATACAGATAAATAAAATTGAAGTGTCTGTTTGTTCAGGCTAATGTAAAAAACGGCTGGACTGATTTTGATAGGACTTTGGCAGATAGCTGATGTTATAAGGAGAAACTTTGGCTACTTTTATTTAATGAAAAGAATTTCCCTCAAAAATTAACACCTAGGGATGCACCCAAGCGAAACGAGGATATGTCGCTAGTGATAATATAATTTTGTATTTAAAACTTGTAAAAGATAATTAATTATGGTACTTTTACATTTATACATTTAACTAGCCATTGTATTAATAGTAACTATTTTGCATTTATTAATTACATAATGACATTAATATTATACATCACCTATACAAGTATGTATGTGAAAGAGGCATTGCATAATGTTATTTGTAAGAATATAAGTTTAAATAAGTCAGCTCTAAAATACTGTTATAAGGAATTTTGGAATTTTGCAGAGGGATTTCATATTCTAATTATTAAATAAAATAATATACTTTGTATGAGTTTGTCATATTTATTTTTATTCACAGAGTGCAGTTAGAGCTGCAATAGAAGGAAGAGTCCTAGTCATAGAAGGTATAGAAAAAGCGGAGCGTAATGTGTTGCCAGTTCTGAATAACCTCCTAGAAAATAGGGAAATGCATCTGGAGGATGGAAGGTTTTTGATACCAGCAACAAGATATGATAAGCTATTACAAGTAAGTACTATTTGAATATTTTAAATTATTAAAAATATTATAGAATTGTTTGATGTTCATACGTATTTAAACTCATTCAAGATAAGATACTTATACAAGTCATTTAAGTATTTATGTATTATATTCTACACTTGTTAGTATGAAAAAGAATATTATAATGCAGTTAGATTACAACATATCATATTATAAGGCAAAATTCGTTAATACAATATTTCTTGAGGAAAATATTGTAATGATAATATATATATATATATATATATATATATATATATATATATATATATATATATATATATATATATATATATATATAAATATGTATAATATTTATAAAATATGTGTATAATATTTAAAACGATTAATTTTTTTTGCAAGGAACATGGTGTGGAAGAAGTTTCAAGGTGGCGGTTGGTCCGTGTAGACGAAAATTTCCGCGTAATAGCATTAGGATTGCCAGTGCCGAGATATGTGGGACAGCCGTTGGATCCTCCGCTACGTTCAAGATTCCAGGCTAGAGATGTCGCTACTATCGGATTTGGGGTGAGAGTAAAATGACGTTTATTTATTACTCGACTGCGGCGAAGCCCAAGGGGTTATGTGTTTGTTAAATTAGCCGTCACCCGCCCGCCTTACTGGGCGTGGTCTTCAGATTTTTTAGGTCTTTCGCTTATAAATTAAATATTTAGATTGAATAAAAAAACCAAGGATAAAAAAGTTTCACGTCTTTTGTGTTTATTGGCGGGAAAAAATATTATGAAAGTAAATATAAAAACTAAAACGATCAGCGCCACGTTTTGACAAATTTTATTATTAATATTATCCTGTGTGTTAGCCCAAGTACTAGTCTATCTATGTGCTAAATTCCATCTAAATCTGTCCAGCTGCCACATACAAACTTTATAATAATAGTGTTAATTATTCTTTGAAATTGTTTTTCTATCTGTTCTTCGAAAAAATTTAGTTCAGATCTGATGTAAATAATTGAGGGTATTTTATTCATACGAATGACATTTTTAATTACTTGTATTTTTTATACAGATTTTATGTTGTCTGTATTTAAAATAATAAAGGCATTTTTAAGATAATTATTTAATTACATACTATGAGTAAAGAATTTTTTTCAAGTAATATATCTTGAACAAGATTATAATAAATTATGTTAGGATGTAACATTTCAAATTATTCTTATATATTATTCCCTCCACGACCGCGGACACGCCGGCGTTACAGTTAAAAATAGATCTCTTAGAAATTTGCCTGGAGGTTTTAAAATGCATTTTAAAATTGTAATATTATTTTTAAGCGAATAAAGAGCAGTATCATTACGATATCTGTGAAAGAAGACTTTCAGTTACACTAGGCGTGGTTGAGTTGAACTTCTTATTTAAAGCTTCCGGCATAAAAATATGAACTTGCTTTTTGGATTTAACATCCGGTATCATTTTCTTATTGACCATTTCCGCGTACTGTTTTTCAACTGCATTTCTCTCGGAGACCATTTTTTGTCGTGTTTCCATAACACTAGCTCTCATGTCTTTGACCTTTTTGTTTTCCTTAATCTTAGTGTCACTTCGTTGCGTGCTTTTCACGTTTCGTGACTGTCGCGCGTAGTTTTCGATCGTGTTCGCCGATGTTGGCATGTAATATTCCTGCCGATCGATAACCCCACTTGTCTTTGGATCGACCACCTTCACTTGCTTCGCTCTTAACTCTGTCACAGTCTTAGACTTCATTAAATTACGCTGTTGTATCTCAGGCCAGCTATGTCTGGGCTGCGACATACGTTCAACATTCTCTTCTGCCAAAAGATTTACTTTTCCAGCTAAATCCAACCATTGTAGAACTCTCTCTGATAACTCAGTGTTTTCCTTCACATCAGTTCTGGCAGTACGATTGCTTTTCACAGCCCTCATATTTTCGGCTTCCTTTATGCGATAGCTATTTGAATCGCACAAAGGTTGGGGTGACGCTTTTACAACAAATTCACTGTCGAAATTGTCTACGTCTGATAAATTTAACTTTTCTATATGTGGTTCGCATTCGGTCCTCTGTGAAAACCTTTCGTTTTCGATGACAAAATTTAAATTTCTGAAGTCGTCGTGATGGCTCAACGCGCTAATATTTCTTCTGATAGTAGACGTGACGCAGCTAGCTGAAGAGAGTGGTCTTCGTCTTTTCGCGCAAAGTTTAAGGAATTGTGGGTCGTCGTGCGTCAGTATTGCGTGTCGGAATCCGTCCACCCATACAGTTCTAATATACATAGGACGCTGGGACGATTGCCAGAGCGCGGGCATATTACACCCACGGCCTAAACTTTAACTCTTCTAAGCACGCGAATTCTAATGTGTGCTAATGTTCGTTTTGTCTTCATAATTGATTGTTGTTCGTTAGTTAAATGATTAACCTGAAACAAAGAGTAGAATTAATATCCAGTTATCACGAATATTTGTTGCTTCATATACGTAGTTCGTTTAACGACTTAGGAAATGTTAAGAAAATTGTATTATTTTATGATATTATGAAACGTCATAAGTAAATGGTGATTATGATGTCTCACGTCTCTACAAATAAGGTTTTTAATCCAAAATATTCTGCATGATTTTCATTAAATGTAAGGTTAGTTTTCTCTTAACGATCTAAACTGAAACTAAAGATATTTATTTCAACGAGAATAGATCTAATAAACAATAAGACAAGGATTAGTCCTAAATGATTATGAAAACTGCATAAAAATGAATAATTTATAATAAAAAAGCGAAATATATACGAGGCAAATAGAATAGTAATTTTCAATACCATTATAAGATAAAAAAAATGTAATAATAGAATATTTCGATTGAAATTCGTTATAATTTGACTCATTACATTAGATCCTGTCAGCAGTTCTCACTCCATAACTAATTGAAATTTCAACGAGTCATACCTGACATAGCATTATTCGTAATGGGCGGTTACAGGTGATTAGAAAAAGCTCTAGTTAACGACAAATTAATTAATTCAAACAAAAGTTTTAATTAACTCAAACTAATCTATATTAAAATTATAAAGAGGCAGAGTTTGTTTGTTTGAACGCGCTAATCTCAGGAACTACTAATCCGATTTGAAAAATTATTTTTGCATTAGATAGCAATATATCATCATCAGGCCATAGCCTATATATCATCCTGGAAAAATGTACGGTTCCCGTAGGAAACATTTGTTTTTGTCTAGGGACGAGCCCGAAGCGAAACGAGGGAAGCTAGTATACATATAAAAGCTGTTTGATTATTTGGGTTTTACTAGTTTTTTTTCAAAGTTATCTATAATTGTAATATAACTACATATAAAAGAGTCATAATTGAACATTTTTTTATTTATACAAATGTTTTATACCTATAGGTAATTATATATTATGTTGTTGATATTTGTATGGCTGAAAAATCAGTTCTAAGTTATCAAATTAGTTAACTAAAAAGTGTTCATTATGTAACGAAACATATAATAGGAACTTTCATTAATAAATAGATGTGTAACATTTTTTTTATGTAATTTTTTTAAATTACGTCTAATGACGAATAATCATTTAGCAAATTCAACTCTGATTGGCTTTATTAACAATTTTTATTAAAAAAAATCTATTTGATGTGCTGAAAATTATATTTTGGATCTTTAAATATATTTTATTCTATTGTATAGCTTAACTTTTATGATTATTACACTTCAATGAAGTTCTAATTTTTAATACTTACCAATCAATTATTTTTTTAAACTATCATCATCATTTTTTTAAATGGTAGATTCTGTATACATTCTATAAGTAAGAGTTGCTATTGGATTTGCAATATATTTTTCTCCTTATAAACTTTCATTCTTGTAAGCTTATTTCCGTAAAATAATAAAGTTTCCAACATCGAGCAATGATTTCGACGTCGCGACGTATATCTGTGTCGCGAGTGACTGGACGCCCCTCGGTTACCGATGCGAGTTTTGTCCTTAGCTTTGTTCCAAAGACTGCTTCACAATATCATATTTTTTTGCATTTTTTTAGCTTTTACTCTTCTAGCTTTTTTCAAGCTTATGGGTCTGGTTTTACGATAGAAATTCTCCAAATTTGATCTGATTTCCATAAAGCTTATTTAAAGGTTAAGTTTTAACTTTTAACCTCTAAAAGTTCTACCGACTTAGAGTAAATTACTTTTATTACATTAAAAATATTGACTTCTTACATACAACATAATTTTGAAATCGGTGTATCTTTTCAGTTAAAGGAGTGTTATTTGGGTATTATGTACTTAAATGACATTTTCGTATATACTTCCTAATAGTAAAGGCATTTGTAAATATTCCAATAATATAATAATAATATATAGCGAAATATTTTTTTGAAAATAGCATTGTGACATCGACTTTATTTTGTGAACTTGCGGTGGTTGAATTACATCATGCAACCGTAAGAATTTGCATATTTTCCATCACAAAAAGAGGACAATTATAAGTTTACCAACATTTTTGTTTTTGTTTTGTTTTAGTTTATAATTTTGGGTATTTATCGCGTGAATATAACGATTTTAAAAGTTCTTTTCTTGTCATCGTAGGCAAAGTTTCTCTAAAGACAGTATTTTTTGTCTTCATTACAATTTTAGAAATGGATATAGATCGAATTATATTATTATAATCATTGATCTACACACGTAAAATTCCGTTTTTTTTGAAATAGTGATTGCGCACATACTGGTAACTATAATGTTTTCAGCGTAAATAGTTAGTCTTAGTCAGATCAGATTGACCGCCAACAAATTTGGTCAGGGAGGGGAACACTGTTACGTAAGAAAAATGCTAAATATGTAGAATTATTTAATTCTAATTGCTGTAAAGCTAAAAGTCCTTATTCCCAAAACACGCCATAATATCGACAGGAGAATTATAAATTCAATGATCTTGCATAATTTTGGGAAAGTCTAACTGTTAGTTTGCACGAAGCATTAAGTTTTATGTGGCCAAATGAGTAGTTTGGTAACATTCGAAGTTGCTAATAGCGATCTAGTGATAGGGCGATACGATCTTTGTAAGCGAAATATACGGATAGGTATGTACAATTGTATACCAAACGTTACTCTATTTATGGACAGAATATGCCTAGTATTTATAATTTGAAATCTAATATTATATCATGGGCTTATTACCAATTGTCAATTTATACATGAATTATTATTAGCTAGAGGTAGCTTCGTTCACATGTGGTTTCGTTTTATATGATTCTCAGACACTTGTGAACCTATGAAGGAGCAAAGAATGGGTATTTAAGTTATATCTTCGCGTCTTTTTACTGAAATTCATAATACATATAATCCAAAATCCTTATATTTTTTCACTGCGACATTTTCTGGTCTACCTATAGTGATCGCCGCATATTGAATGTCACTCTAGTAGATCAGTGAATTCTGTAGCTTTGATAAACTGCATCATTTGCATTTTGCATTTGGATACACTCATTTTTTTTTACTTCATTTTATTCCAATTTCATCAATATATCTTTTTTTTTCGTGTAAGGTTATTATACCTAGGATAAAGCTATTATTATATTTTTTCTTAGTAATACGACTAAATCTACAACAAACAAATATTGATTGAAAAATATTTATTTCAACGATAAAATATCATTTCGATTGTAAATGATTTGTATTGGAAATGTGCTACCCCTAATTTGATTCATGTAATATAGAACATCTGTTTTCATACATTGACTAAGGCGAGTTATATTCAAATGCGATCGCTATCACGTACTACGTGCCTGCGGGTGTTTTTTGTATGATGCGAATAGTAAAAAGAAAGCCTTATGAGTTATTCTAGTATCAGAAATATAATCTTATTAAGGCTTCTGTCTTCTTTATATGTGTATTTATAGAAGACTTAGAAAAAAGATATTTTTTTATTGGTTTTTACACTTATGTTTTATACATATAAAAGTGTAGGGCTCCAGACCAATAAAGTAGTGCAGGTTCGGTATTAGATTGCAAGGAAATTAAGATTTTTTTGGCATTAATTTCTGAAAATTTTGTTTTTTTAACCTTTTAAACTTAGATTTAGGTCACATGTTTTATTTAAACATGTGCGCAATTTAGATAAGCTGGGCAACTTACCCTTAAGGCGGCTGATCCCAAATCTGAACCACAAATGTTATATAAAAAAAAAAGAATTTATAAAGGAACAATGTGTATTCTGCTTATAACACATAAGATTGTCTACCTGTAAATCTTACTCTGCATAGGAATAAAATTTAAACTATAACCAAATTAAAAATACTGAAACTTGCAGTGCTGTAAGCGCAAATGAATCTATAGGTATAAAAAAATAAATGTTCGTATGTTTGTCCTCTATGCGTTTGTAAACCATTGCTACAATTGTGATTAAACTCTAGTGGATTATCCTATATACGCCTGCGGAGATTTATGGGACAAAAAAAACTTTGGTTAGTTTTTTATGCGTTCCTAAACTATTCAAGCTTAAACAAAGCGAGTCGTCGCTAGTAAACTATGAAAATAGATAACTAGACATTTTTAATAAAATTTTTATTGGAACAAAAATAAAACAATTAGTTCGAAACTCGCTAAATGAAATGTTACCCCCGTAACGAGTTGTCAGAATTAATATTCCGCGGTAATTGCGTTGAAGTTTCATGCTGTGTGGAGTTAATGGGACGAGACATGGAAGGCGAGAGCGTTGTTGTACAATGTACGTGTTGACTACTGAGTTGTATTTATGTAACATTTTCAGTAGTCTTATGCCCGATTTCACCAACAACCCATAAGCCACCTATGTATGGGATCCCTAGCTTAAAAGTCCCCTAAACTAGCCCCTAAATTAAATTTCGTTTTACGATCGTTTTTAAGCCCATATTTCGAGCACTTAAATTTAGGGGCCCTTTTAATATTTAGATGACCCCTAACTGTCGGTAAAACAGAAACTGTCCCCTAACAGACCCCTAACCATGCTTAGGGGCCCTTAAACTTGGTGGCGTTGGTGAAATCGGGCATTAGTCTCTTTGCCTTATATCGATTCAGTTGTTTGTTTAATCGCAAGTATAATAATTATATCTAAAAAACACCAACCTCAAAATCTCAGTGATTTTGGTACCATTAGGGGTGGATTTATATGGTAGGTTAAGGTATAACCTCTTCATTATAATAGAATTATGAAAATTGCTTTACAAAATTTGCGTAGAGATCGCGTAATATACACAAAAAAACAATGCGTGTGATTTTAGAAGGATATAAAACTGCAACTATTGGCGTGAATAAAAAGGCCTAGTAAGTTAGGAACAATTCAAAATTTAAAGACCTATCCAGATATATGTTTATCTGAACTTAAATTATTTTTCACTGCTCAGTTCGTACCACATGTGGCTGTACCTACTTTTTTACTTAATGTAATTTAATTTTTAAATTCTCTAGCGATTTACAAGAGACACTTATCTACCGAATTTCAGCAATGTGATTCCGATAACTCTTCAAGTAAAATGGTTGTGTCATACGGAGGAAAGACGGACAAACAAACAGACGGTCAGCTAAAAAGGTTCTGTTGAGGCCTTTTGGCTACAGAGCCCTAAAAAACTTACACCTGAATTGAGTAACACCTCCTTTTTCAAGTCGGTCCATAAGGTTTGTCGACATGCTACGTTCCATTTAAAACGATTTTATTTTTTCCGTCTCACTATACTTGCCCGGTTTTATTGAACTTAAAGAAATAAATTAATTATTAACAAACTATCTATCTAGTCAATGAATCTTCCCTGCCCTTGTATAAGACTAGGGTAACAAGTTGCACCCCAACGTGCGTTGACCTGGTCGTGGTGGGGGGGCTCAGTAGTGCCCGGCAATACAGCCGGGCGCGAAGCCAAGAACCGCACAGGGAGGTGGCCCGCTTCGGTGGGCGGTGGGAGGCGGCCCTCTTCGGAGGGCGGTGTACCATAAGGGTTGCTCCAGGTACTTCTCTGATAGCAGAGTGGACCTTGGAGCAACAACGTGGTTGTTGTGGTCTGCTTCGGCAGACCTGCCGTCGGGGCGTCGTAGTTGAATGCGTAAGCGATCCTCCGACGCCCCATTAAGACGGGGGAAGGTTTTGTTGGGTTTTAGTGGGTAGTACTGGCTTCGCCGGTGAGTCCCACACTTCTTGCGTAAATGCGTTTTCCTAACGTTAAAAAAAAGGGTAACAAGAAGTACATAAGTGAATCCCACCAAAAAAACAAAATACCAGATAATTATGGTTTCTAAGAAGTTAAATCAAAAATTGTTTGAGGCTAGGCCTTGGTGTCAACAAAGATACATGTATTACAGGAAATACGGATATACTATGTAGTATATTTGAAACTTTTGTGTATATTTTTTATTTCTTTTAAGCTATTGCATAGCTTCTATCGCGGGCCTTGAGCGTGGGGACCGAATCCAGATATACCGTAACGAAAAAACCTATCACCCCCCACTCCGACCGGCACAGCGGTGATACTTTTTTCCATCTATCGATAAATACCAGATCATTTAATGACTTTTTGAAATATCACGCTTGTCTCTTTAGTTCAGCAACCCGCCTTTAGGTGGCATTGGTTGTATTGGAAAACTACCGTAATCAGCTGTTTGTGAGAAAGTATATAGGTGTATAGGTATTTATCATCTATGTACAACAGTGAATATCTGTACTCGTATAATTTGTGTACAGTGTTTTAAATATGAATAAACAAAGTGCATTTATTAATGAAGAAAGTCACGAAAAAATAGTGAAAGAAAATGAGTTAGTACTCTATATACATTCATTTTATTATTATTATCACAAATGCAGTTATTTTTTGTTTTGTTAATTTATATATAATACTGCTATAAAGATAACCAAATTTTTTGATATTAAAATAAGCTTGCATAAGTTGATAAAAAATGCTATGCAATAGCTTTACCGCGGCAGTCTCCGAGTGCCACATTAAATTTTTTTAAACCTTATTTTACCTTCAGGTAAATTTCTAAGAAATTAATAAAATTTCTAATAAATCTATTGTTCACTGACACGCCGGCGTGTCCGCAGTCGTGGAGGGATTAAATATTATACGACACTTAGACATGTTGACATTCATAAAATCAATATCAGTGAAAGAAACTAAAAAGCATATGATAATGATATTTTATTTCAATCTTACTACACTATACAAATGCGAAAGTTTGGATGAATGAGTGTCTATTTTAGAAACACGCCAGAACAGCTGAATAGATCTCGGATGAAATTTGGTTTAAAGATAGATTATAGTCTGGAATAGCACTTAGTGCTTTATCCCGGAAAAATGCACCGTTCCCGCGGGATAGATTTTTTTTTCATTAGGCCTCTAGTTTGTCATATAGTATCAAAATGTCATATAGTATCAAAATGTCATATTGTTTAATCCCGCTCTATTGATATTGCCGTGCACTTTTATCGTATAACGTATTTTCTTTCTCTTTTGTCAATTTATTTCAACATAAATGTAAAAATTTAAGCGATAAATTAGAGTACTTCAGACCCTTTTGCGGCTTTCGTGTGTAACTTTGGAGACTGCTGGTTTATAAATCCTACAACTTTGCGAACCACTGACAGGTATGTTGTTTGTTTTACACCATAGTAGATACTACTCTTGAATTTAAATTTAGATTTCCCATGTTCTTTCACAGTAACAGTAACTAGTATTTTCAAAACTGGCGAAGAAATAATAAGTAAACTATGTTGATCATTGAAATAAGTATCATCTTTCTTTTTAGTATAAACTAGCGACTCAGCCTCGCGCCGCTCGGGTTCGTCCCTACTTACGTTTTAACGTTTAGTATAGATTTCTCAGAGATGAGATATTTTCCCGAAGTAAAAAGAATCCTATATATTGACCCGGATAACCAGCTATCATCATACCCAATTTCATCAAAATCTGTCCCGTGATTTTCTCGTGATGCGTTCCCAGACAGACAGACAGACAGACAAAAATTCTAAAAACCATCTATATTAATAACTATTTCAATAAGATTTTCCAAAAAATATTTCATATACATATTAGACTCATTTTTAAAATAATGTCAAATATTCGCGTATATCTAAGACAGTATTAGATTAGACTTAGTTAAAATTTTATTATATGCATAGATATGTTTAATAATTTCCTTTTCTGTAATATTTTATACTTTGGTACATTATCGTCATCACGTGACGACTAAATGTTTGTTTAAAATTATTACTTTTGCAAATTACCTAATCGCGGCGATTATAAATTTACGGTTATAACCGTAAATTAACCTATTAACAATAAAGCACTATAGCCTAAAACAAAGCTTTATTGTTTTAGGCTTTATTGCTTTATTGTTAATAGGTACTGTTCTTTGTAAATGAGAAATATATAACGAATAAGTTTTTTGGAAAAAACATTTTCTACCTTCTAACAATTTCTTTATGGCTGTAATATTATACTCGGCACACTTAGGGAATAAGAGCTGGACGGAAAAAGTGTAATATTGCGACCGTCACGACACTTTTTATTACTTAAAGAGTTTTTATTATTTTACAGGCGATTATTAGTATTAAGGAATGTATGTTGTAAGAAATTTGTGTGCATGCTGTGCAGACCACATTGCTTGATCGATTGATGTAAATGACTACTTAGTTCTCGTGACAATTTTAATGGCCTAATTTATGACCTAAGGGCGAAAGGAACTTCGTTAACTACTGGATTTCCTATGACATCATCATGATAAATGACATAATCACTCTCTATTCTATAAACTATACACAAAAAGTTAAAATTGTATGTTACAGCATCTGTCTATTATTTTTCAGGAACATCTAAATACTCTTAAAGAAAACGCTCCACGTGTGGATACTACGAAGCTTGAACAACTGCTATCCGCTGCTTACGCATTTATCAGTCCTGAGCTACAACAAATCAGCTTGCCCGACTTTCCTGTAGATAACTTGAATGTTGCTGCACTTATTTTGGTAAGTCATATATACATATCTTATACATATCTAAAAAGCAGTTTGCTATGATCGTCGTCATCATTAAACAAAAGGAACAATAATTACATAGCTATTATAAGTTCAATATTTACTTTGTATAATAACCAAATTGATGTGCCAAACGCACCTTGACCTTGAAAAGTTAGGTGATGAGGAGATCGCGTGAAAGTAAACTTCAGTGATAGATATCAAGGACACGTACAATTGTACGCGCGTGACGCATAAAATATATATTTATTGGTCCTTAACTGTTCTATGATGACAGTTTAACTGTTTACCTAAAGCACTCCATATCGGACGTTTATGTGGTCTTTTGCCTGCACGTGGCCTTTTATTCAGTTGCAATAACGTATACTAAACTGTTTATTACTTTTATGATGTGAAACGAAAAAAATATTTGGATTTTCACTACTACTACTGTTGCTTTAGTCAGAAGTTATTATCCGAACTTTCTTAACAGAACCCTATTATTTAGCCTACATTTTCCGTCCATCTGTTTGTCTTTGGTACGTTATAAGGACAGTGTACTAATTGGAATATTCAGTTTTTGGTAGTCAGTTTTAATTGTTTTTTCTTTTACATATTATATGTTTCTTTAAATAAAAAAAGCAGAAAGAAGATAATGAATTAAGGAGGATTTCTTTCTCTCTTGTATTGATTTTGATGTTTTTTGATTGTTTACTGACATATATTTTACTAGAGATTCGTAATCACTTTTATAAGGGCACTAATCTATATATTATATTGTAATATTTATTAATTTTGAACTTACTTTCATGAGTTATATATATGGGAACTGTTACAAGCGCCTTGGTCACGGTCTAATTAGGTATATGTATGTACCCACGATAATATAAGAATGTAGTATAATATATAATATGGTACAAAAATATAGTGAAAATGAAAGTCAAAAGACATATAGGTACTGTAAATGTAATGTAATTAGAAATGCTTTTTCGCCTTACTTTAATTTCAAATGATTGAACTTATAAAGCACTAGCGACTCATCTACGGTCCGTTCGGGTTCGTCTTTAGTTACGTTTTAACTTAGTATAGATTTCTCAGAGTTAAGATATTTTCCGCAGTACAAATTATTCTACATGTTGACCGGACCAGTATTCATCATACCAAATTCTTGTATTAGATTCAGTATTTATAAAGATTTTTATTTGGTTTTGCTCTATAAACTTTTAATAAAAGAAAACACAAAAAAAGCCAATTTATACTAATATTAGGATTTTTATCGGATATTTTGCAATTAATCTCAGTTATAAATTATAATAACATTAAGAGTAATAATCTACTATTATATCTAATATTAAAACCATTTTTAGGAACGGAACCCTAATATTCCAGTCCATAAACTTTTGTATTTATTATATCCATACAACACATTCCTATCAAGAGATCATATAAAGAACGTGGAAATAGTATTACATAACTTAAATATTGAAACCAAGCCTCAATGGAGTATTGCTTTACATAATGTTGAGTTCAAAGATAACCAAGCTTTAGTAAATATAGAGATAAATGGTGAAAAGTCACAGTTCAGTGTGTCATGTGGAGGAAACAAGAGTAAGACGGAGAAAAAGGGATTTGTTAAAACAGAGTATCAAACTCAATTGCTAAATGAATTGCTATTGAGTCATAGTGTTGGCGATTTTTGTATAGTTGGTGAGTTCTATTGAAAAGTCTCATATTGGTTTTTCATTATATATGTTTTATCATTTTGCTTTTCTACCTTCAAGTAACTATACTTTATTAAAATAAACTACTACACTGGTATAATGGTGTACTAAAGTACACATCTTATCTAATAACTTATTATTTTTAGGTCCAAAAGGATGTGGTAAAAGCCTTCTTGTTTCCCAACTAGCCTCGCTATTAGGGTACACAATAGAACCAATTGTTTTATACCAAGATATGACAGCTAGGGATCTTATACAACAAAGAACAACTTTGGACAATGGGGATACAGTATGGAGAAATTCAGCTTTAGTGGAAGCTGCTTTGAAAGGCCACTTGGCAGTTTTAGATGGTTTGCACAGAATACATGCAAGTACTCTAGCTGTTTTGCATAGGTGGGTAATATTGATACTATTTACTAGTCAACTAAATAGTTTTAAAATTTTAAAACATGTTGGGACACACACAGCACCGTCTGATTCCATGGTAACCTATGAGGCTTGTGTTATGGATACCAGATAGTTGATACATTACACATATATAACTTTAAATACATACGTATTATAAATGTAAACACCCATGACTGGAGTACAAAAATTCGTGCTCATCACACAACTGAACACTCCCCAGCGGGACTCAAACCCGCGATCGCTGGCACAGCAAGTAGGGTCACTACAAACTGAGCCAAACGTGTCGTTATGAACAAATTCGAAACATTTTCATATCAAAATATGTAGTATAATAATTTAGGTCTTACAATAAGTCAAACAGATGAATTTATGGTCGACATCAATATTGCCAAAATAGTGTATAAGTTTGGTTTTGTAGCGGTTTTGCGTGATAACAGTACTTGTGAATTTGTTCTATCGCGTGGTAATATTTTTTAGATGTAACATTTTGGGTATAAAAGACTAATATATATTATTTATTTTAATTTTAGCCTAAATGTATTATTTATTAGAAAAATACCTTTGTAAAATAACTTATTATATTTCGAATTTTCCGGGCAACTTTTCCCATTTTTCCTTAAAAACTTACCAAAGAAAAGCATTGTAGTTAGTTTTAGTAGATATAAAATCTTAAATGAAAAATTAGTTACAAAAAAATCTATAGATTATTTATTTACCAAAACATTGGTTTTCAAATGGAAGTATCCTTTAGAAATAAGTAATTCTTGGATAAACATTTAACAGGATTTTATTTTTACACTTTCAGATTAGTTCACGACAGAGAATTACAGCTACACGATGGCACTAGGCTCTTACGACATGATCGATACGATGACTTGCTTGCCTCTGGATTGTCCCAGAAAGATTTAGAAGAAAGTGGTGTAAAGAGGATACATCCTGCTTTCAGGTACGTTGTTCTAAAATGTATTTTTTTTATTAATTGCTTTATTTAAAAAAAATATACTTGTTTGTTCTTAATTAATTTATTTATTTTTAATTCGAATATAATTCTTCTCCTACCAATATATACAAACTAGCGACTTATCCTCGCTTCGCTTCGGGTTCGTCCTTAGTGTAAAACAAAAACCAATCCATCCCACGGGAATCGTACATTTTTCGGGGTAAAAAGTAACCTATGTGCTATACCAGACATAAGCTATCTCTGTTCCAAATTTAATCCAGATATGTTCAGCCGTTCTAGGGTCGTTGAGTAACAAACATCCATCCAAACTTTCGCATTTATAATATTAATGAGATAATGGGATATAATTAAATGTTTAAAAAATCTCGAAAGTTTATGGATGAAGGACCAAAAAATCCTTATGCATTTTATTTAAGGTATGAGAGCGTTTGAGAAAAAAATAAAAAAATAATGGATCCTCCTTCACTTAGACCAGATTCGTATTACGGTTCAAAAGATACTTTGAAAGAAGAGCAGATAAACTTATTAGATACTTTAAATATAGTACACCATTCAAATAATGTAATCTGAATAAAATATATCTAATTTTAGGATAGTAGCTTTAGCGGAACCGCCAATATTAGGCAGCGGTCAGCAATGGTTGTCACCGGAGATACTTAGCCTCTTCATATTCCATGAAATGCGAAATCTGAGCAAAAATGAAGAGATGTTTATTATTAATTCTTTGGTAAGTATTAAAGAACTTATAATTGAAATGTTATTTTCAATTGTTATAACACAATATTATTTTATTTTTTTCTGTTTAGATCTTAGCGTTGCATTGTCGCGTTTTTTGCTTGATGTCATCAAGCAAACAATGTCTTACAAATCTTAGTGAAAAATCTTTTCCGTAACTTAATTTTTTAAACTGAAGATAGATCTGAAATTAGATCAAACTGAAAAGAACTCAATTTTGGTACAATAGATAGTTACAATTTTAACATATAATTGTACTAAGTTCTTGGTTTGCATATTTTGTCTTCCGATCGAACTTATCGATTGGATTGTAAGAAAATAATTGTAATAAATATGTTTATATTTCAGTATGGAGACATTTCCGATCCGTTACATTCTATAATGGAGCTAGCTGATCAATTAAGAAAATCAGAAGATAGCACTTTAAAAAATCTATCTTCATCTCTATCCACAAGACAGTTATTACGGATAGCGAGTCGCATGGCCAAATACCCGGCCGACTCTGCCTATGAAACAATACAAAGAACATTCTTAGCTAAATTCCTACCTAATTTGGCGAGACGAGCCCTAGATGGCGCTTCAAACAAAATCGGAATTCAACAACCATCAAAGTTTGGATTATTTGACAAAAAATCCACAAAAGTTGGATGTTCCGTACAAAATGGCATCCTAAAAATTGGGAATACAAGCACAAATATATTCAAAACCGATGCTCTAACAAAAGTGCCTGATATCTTGTTCTATGATGTTCCACAACACATAGCTTTATTAGAATGGCTCCTACAGGACTTTCTACTTGGTAATCATTTGCTATTGGTAGGAAACCAAGGGGTGGGGAAGAACAAAGTCGCCGACCGTCTATTACAATTGCTCAATAGACCGAGAGAATATATCCAGTTACATAGAGACACTACAGTGCAATCATTAACTGTTCAACCAAATGTTAAAGATGGCATAGTGATATACGACGACTCACCATTAGTAAAGGCGGTTAAAAACGGTCATGTCTTAGTAGTCGATGAGGCGGATAAAGCTCCTACACACGTTACTTGTATTTTAAAGACTTTAGTAGAAAACGGGGAGATGATTTTAAGTGATGGAAGACGCATAGTGCCCAAAGATATGATGGATGATTCGGGGGGACATGTATCTAGTTTTATACCAGTTCATGATGATTTTAGAATGATTGTTCTAGCTAATCGGCCAGGATTTCCGTTTTTGGGCAACGACTTCTTTGCTTCTTTAGGTATGTGTTTTATTTTCAGAAATGATAATCTTTTAATTTTGTTTTTTTTTAATTTATAATTTTACTACAGAAAGGATAAAAATATATTTTTGGTTCCTCTGAGTTTCTTTCGTCAGTTCTCCTTAGGATTGAAGCTTTTTTGTTTCCAAACTGATTTTTATAGTTTCATGCTGATTTTTTTTCAATTTTGAATTATTTTTAAAAAGATTTTATTAAACACGTATACATTTAAGAACTGTCTTATATGAAGTTAAAAGCTATTTTTTTTTGTTAGTGTTTTATTTTACGACTAAGTTGCACGTCAAACTACGTCCCGATAGTTTAGTAAACACTAAACAGAAGTCCTCTCTAACTTATAGATTTTTAACTATCTCTATACGAAACCTATGTAAACCCATTTCGCTATGTTAAAATAGAACGGCGAAATAAAAACCTCGCATATATATATATATATATATATATATATATAAATGTATTTTCTGTGACAGGTGATCTATTTTCCTGCCACGCAGTAGATAACCCATCGATAGATTCAGAAATGGAACTTCTTCGTTCGTACGGGCCCGATGTACCGGAAGATGTAATGAAGAAACTGGTCCAAGCGTTTGCAGTGCTGAGGGATATGGCTGACCAGGGCCAATTGACTTACCCATACTCTACGAGGGAGCTCGTGAATATTGTTAAACATTTACAGGTAAATTGAGGAAGCTTGTGAACATTTCTAAGCATTTTCAGGCCTTCGCAAACATATGGTTGTTCACACCTTACAGTTAACCCCGAATAAGATTAAACAACGATTTGTTTGTGCGGCAAACCGTATACGAAAACCGATTTGACAAAAGCGGAGGTGTGAAACCGTTCTAATGGTAATATGTATATCTTCGAGATAATTGATTTCTTAATTCTAATAACTTATTTATCTGTTGATATCCTTACTTCAGGTAGAAATTTGACATAATCAATCCAATTTTCTTTGGTTCTAAATCTGTTACGAGACCACTTTCTTACTACACTTGTAAAACAAAAACAATCTCTTGAAATATATATGCAATTTGACATAATTTTTATATTATTCTAGAAATATCCGGACGAAGATCTAGCGACTGCAATAGGTAACGTGTTCGATTTCGATCGATACAGCAAAGATATGGCGGACACATTATTAGAAGTGCTACATTCAAGCGGGCTCCCCACTGAGGGAGTGCTGGAGGGCAGATCAAAGGAAGCATTGAAAAAGTTACAAATGACCATAGAAAGAACTAGTGGGTTAGTAATTTATAAAATTAAACGACAACTAAAATTCACAAATTACCATTTATTTCTTTATTAAATAAAGCCTTCCATTGGCGTGTAACGTCGTAGAATACAACAAAGCGTGTAAGAGTACAAGAAATCTTGATTATTCGAAGACAGTGTAATAATAATGATTTGTTCCCTACAATAATTAATCTGATAATTTGAGTGATGTTGCTACGAGTATATGATTTCTCATATAAAATGTTATGGAGATTGCACCATTTGTCTATATTCTTCATAGTCTACACATCAATAACTATCCTACCACTTTTATTCCAATACCAGCAAAGACGTATCATCCCCAAAGCATGGTAAAGAAGACCCAGAGAACCAGCCGCATGTAGGCGGTAATACATGGGCGGGCGGTACTGGAGGCAGGGACACTGCAGGGCTGGGCGGGAAGGGTGGTCCCTACCGCCTGGACAAGGGACATGATGTGCATCAGGTATGTAGAGAGCCTGATTTATACAGATAAATAAAATTGAAGTGTCTCTTTGTAATTTGACAATAACAGCGGTTTACTAGATGCATATGAATTTATGTACGGTATTTATAAGAAAAACACAATTTTTAAAATATTGTCTGTCTGTCTGTTTGTTCCGGATAATCTCTGAAACGGCTAGACTGATTTTGACGGAACTTTCACTGGAAGATATCTGATGTTATAGGAAGTAACATAAGCGGGCTACTTTTATTTTAGAAAAAGAATTAGGGTTCCGCTCAAAAAAATCAAAACGTACCGAGCGAAGGTAGGGTGAGTCGCTAGTTTATATAATATACATAATACATATGTTACGACATTAACACACAGCGCCATCTATTTGCATGGTACGAGGTTTGTGTTATGGATACCAGATAGTTGATACAGTACACGTATATAACTATAAATACATAAACACATAAACACTCATGACTGGAGTACAAACATTCGTGCTTATCACACAAATGAATGCCTCCAGCGGGATTCGAACCCGTGACCGCTAATACAGCAAGTATAGTCACTGCAAACTAAGCCAAACGTGTCGTCGTAATTTGTGTGCTTAAATAATACTGACACTAAAGCATTTCTGCTTAGTAAGTATAAGAATTTGCAAGTATTTGCCAGTTAAGAATAAGAAAAGAGGTTGGGTCACTACCCCCTTCAACCCTTTTAACATCCAACTGTTGGGCATGGGTTTCACTTGGATGCGAAATGGATCATACCACAGTCCATCACACTGGTCAACGAATTCTCTTGGACATGCAGGTTTCCTTATGAATTTTTTTTTTACCGTAAGGGGAAACGTTTTCATGTTCTCGGCACAAGGTTTGAACCCGAATCACTTGGGTTTCTGAGCGAGTGCGCTACCACTTCGCTATGAGTACTACAGGGATAGAAGAAGATATCCAAGGAAACAATACGTACGAATACACCACTGTCGTAATTTTTTGTATTATTGTATCAAATAATACTGTCTTAGATTTACGTGAATGTTTGACATTTTTAAATAAAACTATCTTTTCGGATTATTTCGCGGATTTATTTTAATTTTTGGTTCCCGACGTTTCGAATGCTTTACAGCATCCATGGTCACGGGAGAGACTGAGGTGTTACATGTCTTGAAGGTATAGTTGTTACAGACAGCCTACCCACAATTAACAAAATGAAAATTGCACCAATTACATTACAATATTTTTTTACTTTAAACATTCTTATAATTTTAATTATAATCGAATATGGAATATTATTTATTTAATTTTTGCTATTATTCTTATAATTATTACAATTTTAAAAATATTAATTAGTAATCTATATTTAGTGTTGCCATTATTATATTTATAACCATAAAGAAAAATATAAAATATAGTATTAATTATGTAAGCCATATAATTGTTCTATGTGTAATTTAAAAAGTTAAAATTAATTAAGGATAATAATTTTAATTTAGTTTGCTGTTAAAGTTAAAAACAACTTAAGTTGTTGTCTCTCCCGTGACCATGGATGCTGTAAAGCATTCGAAACGTCGGGAACCAAAAATCAAAATAAATCCGCGAAATAATCCGAAAACATAGTTTTATTTAAAAATTATTGTATCAAAGTTACAATTATAAAAAAATTTCAGTTATCTGACGCAGAAAAAGACGACATTCCAGAGCATGTAAAGAAAGCGGCGCGAGAAATGAATAGAAAAGCTTTTGAAGAGCGACTGAAAGAAATTAAGATGAGTGAATATGATGCCAAGTTGTATGGACAGTTTTTAAAAGCAGTACAACCACAGGTATTTAAAATTCTTTATTAAGCTTATCATTTATCTTATTTTGTATTACATTTTCTTATTTAGGAATCCTACATTCGATTCTTGTTTAAGGTAGTTTATTTTTTTATTATTGTATTTTCATTGACAGTAGTTAACTTTTATTGACCTAATACGAAAGCGGAATTAAAAAAAAAACTAATAATATAATGAAATTAAGTAAGGATTTGATAGAAGTGGGCTGTTAGCAAAAAAGTTTATATTTTCATCTTTTAGATAGGGGCCCTCCGAGGAGTTTTGGCTGAGCTTCAGGCGAAGAAGAAAGAGCGCAGCTGGAGCAGACATCAGACCAGCGGCGAATTAGATGACGGGAAAATTATTGAGGGTAATCGTATTTATGTAAAACTATCTGATCGTTTTTTCTTGGCGGTAATCAAATAAATTGATTTTTGGTTCTCGACGTTTCGAATGCTTTACAGCAATCAGGGTCACGGGAGAGACTAAGGGTTTAGACGTGTCAAAGTTCATTATAAAGTTGTTACAGACAGAGCAATAATGGTTGCTGTAAAGCATTCGAAACGTCAGGAACGAAAAATAAAAATAAATCCGCTATAGAATCCGAAAAGATAGATTTTTCAAATAAAACTAAGAAACTATTAGGTAATTTTCATAATTTGTATGTACGAGTACGAGTATACACGTACTAAATGGTAAAACTGGGCACATTATTTGTGTTTGACTAGAACTATCTCACCGATTTTAAAGTTTTTAGCCTATTTATTAAGTTATTCATAATTGATTTTTCTTTAATTTGAATAACTATAGCAATTAAGTCAACTAACAATAAAGTCGTGTTTGCCGTTTTGGGTGTCGCCATGTTTGTTGTGAATCCATACGAAACTTTTGGAATCAAAGAATAAAAAATATATACCACTTTTATACATTGTATACGAATATTTGTCGTTTTATGGTAAATATTTTTTCGGTCATCTCGCGGTTTTGTTATTATTCTGAGACTGAAAATAATTGCAAAATCGAATCGATTGAAGAAATAATTTTTGTTTAAAGTTTGCATAATAATTGTTCGATTACAATATTTGTTTGTAGGTTTAACAGGTGAACGGTCTATATATAGGCGTCGTACAGAACAGGAGCCGCCGCCGGGCGCGCCGCCCGACAAGCCGAAGCGACTGCGGCTAGTACTCGACGTATCTGGCAGTATGTATAGGTTAGTTAGTATATTTTATTGTTCCTTAATAATTATTATATTGTTATAGAGTAATAAAGGAATTGTTATACGGAAGCAGGAATGAAAAAAAAACAATTCAATTATTTATTAAAAAAAAAATTGAATCCGCGAAAAAAATCCGGAAGAGATAGTTTTATTTAAAACTTGACAGACGGCGTACGAAATCAAGTGTGTAGCAGGCCCGGTAAGAAAAATGATGTTCTTACGTTTTTTCGGACATTTTTTTCAATTTCTTTCTTCATAATGACCTTCGTCGAACTTAAGGCGAATATTTGAATAAAAAAAATAGTCGATTTGTCCACGAGTATTGCGCTTAGCAACGCATTCAGCGATTAGTTTTTATTTATATAATTATCAAATATTTGCGTGAATCTAAAAAAGTATTAAGTAACTAGGGATTTTTCCGCTTTTTGTATAGATGTTGGTTTTTTATTCTGAAAAATGTTTATCACTCCTTCCCGTCGGAACGGCTGAATGAATTTGAATAAAGTTTTGTACACAGATACACTATGACTTAAAGTATCACATACGTTATTTTTGTACAAAATGACTCGCCTGATCGAAGCGAGGGTAGGCTGCTAGTTTCCAATAATACATATGCATACTATGCGTATCCAATGCTATTCCGCTTGTTTTGTTCGATTTGGACTTTCTTTCAGCTGTACTAAATAGACCAGTCCTATTATCTAGTCCATATTACCTAGCTACCACTACCTACCACTACTACGGTAGCTACCACTACCTAGCTTTAATGATGACTGGCTTTATTGCACGCCTTCATAATTGAATACGAAGACTGAGTAAAGAACGGTTCACATTTTACTCAGTATGAATAACATTATATTTCTTTATTCCTCTTCATTCACCAGATTCAATTCCTACGATGGTCGTCTAGAACGTTCTATGGAAGCTGTAGTCTTGATAACAGAGGCTCTCAGAGGTTACGAAGCGCGTATTCGCTACGATATGTACGCGCATTCTGGTGAAGAACATGCTTTAGAACTTGTCAGGGTTGATAGGCCTCCTACTGATGAGAAACAGAGGCTACAGGTATGTTCTAGAGTAATCTAAAGTGCAGAATTTAGAACACTACGTTTAAAATTTTATTTTTCATATACATTTTTTCACCTTTCTTCTCGTCCGTAGGATTTGAATCTCAATTTTTTTTAGTGTTTTTAGAAATAGACTATCAAACTGTCACCCTTGGTTAGTCATTCAGTCATAAACCCAAAAAACAAATCTAAAAAACTTTTTTCACTCCAAAAGATGGGGGAATTATTTAAATTGAAATTCAAAGTTATTTTTATGTATAAAATCTCGTACCTATCGAGTTAACCCCGCTTCGCTCGAGTGCGTAAGCGTTAGTTACGTCACAAAACAATGTGATTATATACTTATTTTAATATTTAATGCTACGGGAGCCTCGATGTGCGAGTCAGGCTCACACTTGTCGGATTTTATTATTATTATTATATTACAAAAAATCGTCTTCCGTGTGTAGATAATCCGTACGATGCACGCGCACTCGCAATTCTGCTGGTCGGGCGACAACACGTTGCCGGCGGCGCGGCACGCCATCGCCTCCCTCGCTGAGGAGGACGCAGACGAGGCCATCGTCTTGATATTATCTGATGCTAATTTACGACGGTGAGTGGATTATCCATGTGTATTCAGCCCTTTTTAACGTTCCACTGCTGGGCACGGACCTCCTTTAATACGAGGGGGATCAGGCCATAGTCCACCACGCTGGCCAAGTGCGGGTTGGCGGACTTCACATGTCTTTTGAAAACTTGCTAGGTTTTCTCAGACATGCAGGTTTCCTCACGATGTTTTGCTTCACCGTAGGGCAAGGAATATTCATGTTTAGCTATATGTCTTTCTAATATACTAATATTATAAAGAGAAAAGATTTGTTTTGTTTGTTTGTACCGAATAGGCTTCTAAATTACTAAACCGATTTAGATGAAATTTTGTAAGAAGATATTTTTAGTTCCTGGGAAGGACATAGGATAATTTTTATCACGAAAATCATCTCTTAGGGAGGTGAAAATGAGGTTGAAAGTTTATATGGGGACGCAACTTAGGGACGAACCCGAGCGAAGCGAGGGTGAGCCGCTAGTTATTTATTTGGTGTACATACAACACCAAATGTTAAAATACTTTAAAAGTTATATGCAAGATGTGGATTTAACGCACAAACTTACTTGCAAACGTAGGAAGTTGAATAGAGATTTAAAAAAATATATGAATTCTTTCAAGATATGGCATCGCACCAGAAGAGCTGGGAACCATTCTAACATCGGACCCGAGGGTGCAGGCACACGCTATATTCATTGGCAGCTTGGGAGACGAAGCTAATGTGTGAGTACAGTTTATTCATGTTAGCTAATAATATATGGGCAATTCTTGTATATAAATATATATTTTTTCGTGTATCTCGGAAATGGGTCTAACGATTTAAATTTTATGTATTTAGATAAGATTTTGCTTTTTAAGTTTATCTGTATAGGTGTACTTTCTAAGAAAAATGCAATTTTTATATCTATTCCGAAAAAACACGATTTACTAAATGCCGGGCGAGTCTTGGTCGGCCAGGTTCTTATTATTAACCTACTACAAAAGAACATTTAATTGGAGATAAGGCGCAGGACCAACACTTTAGCGTGCTCTTTGAGGCGCGAGAGTGTATACACCATTGTTTTCCTAACTAAACACAGTAATTGTTTTGGCTTAACACAGCAATAGAATCCAGGACCTCACGATCTGCTGTTGTACATGCTAGCCAATAAGCCATCGAGTCGTATTTATAAATTGATAGTCAAGTAGAATTTCTAAAATCATTGTGGGTAGTATAATGGAAAAGCCACGAGTGAAAGCGAGTATGTATATCCATGGTATGGTATGGTATGGTATGGTATGTTCGGGCTGTTTTCCGCAACTCGACGACTATGCGCCTATTTTGCGTGTGTTATGTATATCCATACTAATATTGTTCTTGATTGGCGTGATTTCTTGTGTAGAGATAGTTGAAGGGCTAGACCAAAGACATGGCTACTTTTTACCGCGGGCGAATTTCTAATTCCAACAAATTCAAAAAAATATTTATGATCAGATTTACTTAAAACTTAGTATTAATGCTCTTCAATAAAATTAAATAAATAAATGTTGAAGCATTTTTTGAACTTCATCCTATAAGGTGGTAAAATAGGGGATGAAAGTTTGTATAAAACTGCCTTTTTAGAGACTTTTTTGTAGTTGTAGCGCGAGCGAAGCCGCGGGTTCTGCTAGTAATATATATTTATACTATGTCTCAATATTACTATGGTACTCCTTGATATACATGTAAAACATGGGTACACATTTCTTAACAAATACCTCTCCAATAAGTGGATTCGACATGAGACGAAAAAAGTCAAACCAAAGAATAAAATTAAAAAATCGCAAGTTCTAATTGTCTCAACACAAATTCGACCTTACGCACACCACATAAAGCACTTTTTTTAAACGAAACAACGTGCGTTTTAATTTTGGCAATCGTAAAGCAATGAATAAAAGAGATTTGAAGAAAGCGTATAATTTCGAATTATGTCCTTCTTTTTGAGGACAATTTTGAGACGCTAAATGTTTAACTTAAGTTTTTGTATACCAATGATGCTATTACTACTTTTATATAAGCTATTGAAACTAGTATTAAATGAATATAAAAAAATCTTGGAGGTAGGCATTATTGGATACAAAATAATTTTCAACTTACTTATGATATGATAGAGACTATCATATAATCTATAATGTAACTTTTTGGTTTGTTCCAATATATTTTTTTTATTTTTTCCATTTGTTCCAGTCTTCTTCGAAAGTTGCCGGCGGGCCACGCGCACGTTTGTATGGACGTGGCATCTCTGCCTCAAATAATGCAGCAGATATTTGCCTCCTCGTTGCTACAGAATTCATGAAATATTATGTTATATAACATTACGATATATACAATAATAATTAATAGACTTACTAAAGTCACGGGCATCGTATATTATTATATAGCTTGTGTGGCATAAACTCGCCATCTTCTGCTATTCGCTTGATTGATACCGATTTAATTAGAACTAGCATCTCACCCTCACTTCGGGTTCGCCTCTAAAGACAAATCTATCACACGAGAACCGTACATTTTTCCGGGATATATATGTGCTATTCCAGACTATAATGTATCTCTGTGCCAAATTTCATTCAGATCCGTTCAGACGTTCTGGCGTGATTGAGTAACAAACATCCATTCATACTTTTATATTTATAGTTAAGATTTAAAAAATATTCATTAAAGTAAATAAAAAATCTACAGTTTAAGTTAATCTAATAATTAAAATCTTAGAGACAATACAAATTTAAAAAAGAATTCAAATAGGCATACCAATTTATTACGAATATTTTATAACAACATATTTCTCTTTATTTAACTTCATCTGTGACGTAAATAGTTTAATTTTTCACAGCTCAATAATAGTTTACTTAAATCACGGTTTTAGTGCAGGTTTAGGTCACAGAGACAAATTTTTTTAATAGGTAATTGTTGATATTATATATTAGAATATGTACTTTATTGGTATTGTCTGTGTTTTTATAAAAAAATATATAAGATATAGTGTAGGACTTAATATAAATAAATGAACATAATTATTATGTACATAATCAAACTTCGTAAAGTGATTTAATGTAATGTACGGTCTGAGTAAAAGGAAGAGATGAAATAAATATATTTTTATACATCTTATTATATATACTTTATCGAAGTTATATTTCTTTTGGCACGTTTGGAAAAAAATATGAGAGTAAAATTTTTACGATACGCGCGCACATCGACAGGCAAAAAGCGACATGATGAAGTTGAAGCTGCATTCCTTTTACAAACGGAGAGTTATGACATATGATACGATGAAATCTTTAGCTATAACTTCTTACTCCGTACATAAGTACACACTACACACACACACACCGTTTTTTCTTGTTGTTTTTAATCAATACAATATAGATTATAATAGATGCCATATCAACAGATATTTGCAATTTTTGACGGTTTAGTAAATCATGATTCGCTCGAGAGCGACTTAATAATTGTCTTTATAAATTATATTATAAATACCTTTTTTTGGTATTCTTAGTTCATTTTATTTAGTCAAATTTTTAATTAATTCGTATTTAGCGGTAAAGGGCAAATGGGATACACGGATGAAGTTGCACTAATAACTAGAGAATTATCATTATTATTATATATAATAATTATAAATTTTGTAACAAGTTGGTACAAATTATTGATAATAATTTCTTGTTAATAATTTATTTAGACCTTAAGTTTTAATAGTACCAAAGGGTAATAAAGTACTCATGTTAACGATTAGTAATATTTTGCTTACTGTTGTAATGTATAACTTCACGTTTTTTTTATTGAGTTTAAGATCACCACAGATTTTTGTCTGTCATTTTTATGAGCTTTTGTTTTATTTTGAGAGATTTTTGTTGAACAAAATTTGTGCATTTATTGATTTACGCAAATATTTGACATTATAAATAAAACTTGACTATATATAGCTTTTCGTATTGTTTCTTGGATTTAGTGTAGATTTCTCACGTGACCATGTTTACAGTTAAACCAAAATAAATCCTCTACAAATCTGAAAAGATATTTTTATTAAAAGATTAGGTTATAATTTCTCGTTCAAAATTGAGAATTAAGTAGTTTACAAAATTCAGTTAGATGCTAGCTCTCATGGTTACTATTTTGAGCTTTAAGAGCAGTGAAGCAGCAAATGAAGCACTCTCAGGTTATATATATTATGTATATAGAATAAATATAAAATTGTACATTTTTCTTTTACAACATGTAATCAAGATGTATGTATATTTGGTGGTGATATTTTTATTTTTTATTAAATTAACTTAATTATTAGATATAATTATTAATTTTTGTTATATAGCAACACTACGCAGGCTGTGCCGTCACTAGTTTTATTTTTATACGCACCTTATTATAGTGAATATATTTGTATATCTGATTCGTTGTATCATTTAAACTCCCTATTTTTGTTCGAATTTTAATAAAGGTTTTTAATTACTTTGTATGTCAAAGTTATTGTATTGGATTTTTTTGATTTTTTTTCTGTTTATGTATGATGATGATGTTCTCCTGACCGATTCCGGCCACGGCGGCCAATCTCATTGAGACCAGCCAACTGCGCAGGAGATATTATAGTACACAAGTGTACGCGCAAACACAAGTGCACTCTCTATTCCTGTCACTCTCATACTCCGGTGGGACGACTGCTCGACACGACCAGTGAGAGTCAAGGCGCAGGACCGACGGCTTTACGTGCTCTCCGAGGCACGGGGGTGAAACACCGCCAACTTCCCAACTCCGGGCTGTTACTGAGACTTACTATACAGAAAGACTCAATAACTAAACTTGGCCCGACCCGGGACTCGAACCCAGGACCTCTGAGTGTGCAGCTGTATATGCTAGCCACTACACCACCGAGGCAGTTATTAAGTAAGTTTATGTATAGGGGGTTGTTTGCTTGCGAAAGTTTGTGCTCTGTTTGTCTCACTTTTTAACAGCTAGATCAATTTTAATGAAAATTTATATTTTTTATGATGAATAACATTTTTTATGATACTTTTTAATTAATAAAACTTAAAAAAATTATAATTGGACTTCCAGACATTAATAAGTAAAAAATTAAAAAATATATATGTAATTAAAAGCCGACTTCCAGACACTAAAAAGTAAAAACTTAAAAATAAATAAAACCCTGTTTATTTCTAGCCTGTAAAATAACAAAGGGGGTTTTAATTACTATGTACAAACATAACCAGATACTTTCAAAGAAAATCTATTCCGATATGTATAAATATGAGTACATCGCAAATATATGAATATAATTTAATCTATAATTAAAGTTCATACTTTGTCTTTTTTACCTATTGCGAGTAGATACTGATAATATCTTGAAGCATTGTCGGCTGCCAGCGACTTCGTAAGTATTTGATTAGGTATTATATATTTGAGCGTATTTTAGTCTAGTTTATGTTAAAAAAAATATTCGCATGATTTTTTAATTTAAACTAGCAACTAGCCATCGCTTCGCTCGAGTGCGTTCCTAGGTACGTTTTTTTTCCATAGTAAAAGTCTTAGTTACTTTTTATAAAATCAGCTATCTGCCCCGTCAAAATCTGTCATACCGTATCGAAGATTAGCCGGAAAAAACAGAAAGACATTTTTTTTTAATAGGGTTTCTTATAAGTACCGTATATAATTTCATATAAATTTAGTAAAAAGCTATTATTTTGACATAACAAACAGACACTTCAATTTTATTTATCTATATAGATGAATTCTCAAACGTATGAATAAACATTGCTACGAGTAGTTTTCGTAGCAGTGCTACGTGACGCGTAGCGCTGCTACGAATATGTAGCATTGTGCTACAGGAAGCATATGACCAAAATGGTTGAATTAATTCCAGTTATACAACAATAGATACATATTTAGTAGAGATGCAGATATAATTCAGAATGTAATCGGCCAAGTGGAATCGGACTCGTGCATCAAGGACCTTTACTTATCTATAAAATTGGGTTTTTAATTGATTAGACTGTATTAGCTTAGAAACCCACCTTAAACTAGCAATACTTTTCTTCTCCATTCCACAAGGAAACCTTATAAGGTTTTTCAAAAATCATATTGAATACACAACTATGACGTTATATGTACGTATAAAGCTTTTTAAATGAGGCAACCTTACGTATGAATCCTTTCTTTCTTACGTTCTTTCAGCTATTTCTATTTTAACATATCATATATTTACATATGCACTCAGCGATCAAACTATAGCATACATTATATATTTTTAATTACAGCTCGTAATAAAAAGAAACTTAGCTTCTACTATTGTTTAAGGTTTTTAACAAAGGTTTTTTAACAAACTTATATAAATATAAGAAAAAGACAGAAATCCCTTATTTATACATATAAGTGCAGTGTAAGATCGTGTCGCTTGGTAGATACGACAAAACTATAGCACAGTCAGGTGAAATAAAAAATAAAACACCGTATAGAGATGCATAATATTTGTTTACTAAAGTGTTTTCCTTCTTTATTTTTAAAAAATACAACCAACCTTTTTGGTAGCATTTCAGATAGCTTTTGAACATAATTTTGATCTATCTCTCCACTCATCTTGAACAATCTTTTTTAGTTGTTTAACATTATCCAATTGGTTTCTATTTAAATACAAAGTACGTGCTAGTCTAGTCCAATAATTTTCATTAATATTCGCATCAAGGGAGAGCTTTGACCGCTTTGAAATTTTAAAATTGTGTTCCAAAAAATAGTATTTACCGAGTTTCGCATCACAAACAGTTATTTAGTCTTTTCTTAAATCGTGATAGTAATATTATATCAATTAGAGCCAAGAAGGTAAGGTTCGGTTCTTTTCATCAGTAAATATTATATGCAGCTTAAATTCATGAGATAGCAAAAATGAAAAATATGTACTGTGCTATATAGTTTTGTAAGTACGCGGAATAAGGAGAGTAGATAAATAAAGAACTATTTTGATTAAATAAATCAAATTGTATATACATAAATCAACATTTGAAACCTAAACCGAGAGATTCACATAAATTACGTTCTGAGATGTGCAAATATCATTAAGCTATAAGCCGGATAAGCGTCGCGCGCCCGACACGTACACTCCCAATAAGAATCCCTCTCCTACCCTCGACCCGCGGTCAATATATGAAGTGAAACTTTGATCATAGTTTTGAAATGAATTTCATATTTAATATTTCAGATGTAGTATTTTAAAATATTTTTTTTTTGGCTATTAGGAGTTATTTCGTAAGTAAAATAAATAATAGGTAAGTGACTATTTACTTAATAATTTTAGTATTTCGAGATTAA